GGCCTATTCATCCGCTATCCAACAAGGTATCGTTTGTCAAAATCCATCCATGTTAAGGTACCTTTAGACCGCGACACATGAGAGCCATGTCGGCCGGCGCTGACAGCCCGTGCTATGGGACTTACTGCACAAAAACGAAACTGGGGGCATCATGTACCTAGGTTTGGGGCTCACTCCAAAAGTTTCAAGTCTGAAGCCTTGCCGATTTGTCAGCTTGTTGGCCTATTCATCCGCTATCCAACAAGGTATCGTTTGTCAAACTCCATCCATGTTAAGGTACCTTTAGACCGCGACACATGAGAGCCATGTCGGCCTGCGCTGACAGCCCGTGCTATGGGACTTACTGCACAAAAACGAAACTGGGGGCATCATGTACCTAGGTTTGGGGCTCACTCCAAAAGTTTCAAGTCTGAAGCCTTGCCGATTTGTCAGCTTGTTGGCCTATTCATCCGCTATCCACCAAGCTATAGTTTGTCAAAATCCATCCATGTTAAGGTACCTTTAGACCGCGACACATGAGAGCCATGTCGGCCGGCGCTGACAGCCCGTGCGATGGGACTTACTGCACAAAAACGAAACTGGGGGCATCATGTACCTAGGTTTGGGGCTCACTCCAAAAGTTTCAAGTCTGAAGCCTTGCCGATTTGTCAGCTTGTTGGCCTATTCATCCGCTATCCAACAAGCTATAGTTTGTCAAAATCCATCCATGTTAAGGTACCTTTAGACCGCGACACATGAGAGCCATGTCGGCCGGCGCTGACAGCCCTTGCTATGGGACTTACTGCACAAAAATGAAACTGGGGGCATCATGTACCTAGGTTTGGGGCTCACTCCAAAAGTTTCAAGTCTGAAGCCTTGCCGATTTGTCAGCTTGTTGGCCTATTCATCCGCTATCCAACAAGGTATCGTTTGTCAAACTCCATCCATGTTAAGGTACCTTTAGACCGCGACACATGAGAGCCATGTCGGCCGGCGCTGACAGCCCTTGCTATGGGACTTACTGCACAAAAACGAAACTGGGGGCTTCATGTACCTAGGTTTGGGGCTCACTCCAAAAGTTTCAAGTCTGAAGCCTTGCCGATTTGTCAGCTTGTTGGCCTATTCATCCGCTATCCAACAAGCTATAGTTTGTCAAACTCCATCCATGTTAAGGTACCTTTAGACCGCGACACATGAGAGCCATGTCGGCCGGCGCTGACAGCCCTTGCTATGGGACTTACTGCACAAAAACGAAACTGGGGGCATCATGTACCTAGGTTTGGGGCTCACTCCAAAAGTTTCAAGTTTGAAGCCTTGCCGATTTGTCAGCTTGTTGGCCTATTCATCCGCTATCCAACAAGGTATCGTTTGTCAAAATCCATCCATGTTAAGGTACCTTTAGACCGCGACACATGAGAGCCATGTCGGCCGGCGCTGACAGCCCGTGCTATGGGACTTACTGCACAAAAACGAAACTGGGGGCATCATGTACCTAGGTTTGGGGCTCACTCCAAAAGTTTCAAGTCTGAAGCCTTGCCGATTTGTCAGCTTGTTGGCCTATTCATCCGCTATCCAACAAGCTATAGTTTGTCAAAATCCATCCATGTTAAGGTACCTTTAGACCGCGACACATGAGAGCCATGTCGGCCGGCGCTGACAGCCCTTGCTATGGGACTTACTGCACAAAAACGAAACTGGGGGCATCATGTACCTAGGTTTGGGGCTCACTCCAAAAGTTTCAAGTCTGAAGCCTTGCCGATTTGTCAGCTTGTTGGCCTATTCATCCGCTATCCAACAAGCTATAGTTTGTCAAAATCCATCCATGTTAAGGTACCTTTAGACCGCGACACATGAGAGCCATGTCGGCCGGCGCTGACAGCCCGTGCTATGGGACTTACTGCACAAAAACGAAACTGGGGGCATCATGTACCTAGGTTTGGGGCTCACTCCAAAAGTTTCAAGTTTGAAGCCTTGCCGATTTGTCAGCTTGTTGGCCTATTCATCCGCTATCCAACAAGGTATCGTTTGTCAAAATCCATCCATGTTAAGGTACCTTTAGACCGCGACACATGAGAGCCATGTCGGCCGGCGCTGACAGCCCGTGCTATGGGACTTACTGCACAAAAACGAAACTGGGGGCATCATGTACCTAGGTTTGGGGCTCACTCCAAAAGTTTCAAGTCTGAAGCCTTGCCGATTTGTCAGCTTGTTGGCCTATTCATCCGCTATCCAACAAGCTATAGTTTGTCAAAATCCATCCATGTTAAGGTACCTTTAGACCGCGACACATGAGAGCCATGTCGGCCGGCGCTGACAGCCCTTGCTATGGGACTTACTGCACAAAAACGAAACTGGGGGCATCATGTACCTAGGTTTGGGGCTCACTCCAAAAGTTTCAAGTCTGAAGCCTTGCCGATTTGTCAGCTTGTTGGCCTATTCATCCGCTATCCAACAAGCCATAGTTTGTCAAAATCCATCCATGTTAAGGTACCTTTAGACCGCGACACATGAGAGCCATGTCGGCCGGCGCTGACAGCCCTTGCTATGGGACTTACTGCACAAAAACGAAACTGGGGGCATCATGTACCTAGGTTTGGGGCTCACTCCAAAAGTTTCAAGTCTGAAGCCTTGCCGATTTGTCAGCTTGTTGGCCTATTCATCCGCTATCCAACAAGCTATAGTTTGTCAAAATCCATCCATGTTAAGGTACCTTTAGACCGCGACACATGAGAGCCATGTCGGCCGGCGCTGACAGCCCGTGCTATGGGACTTACTGCACAAAAACGAAACTGGGGGCATCATGTACCTAGGTTTGGGGCTCACTCCAAAAGTTTCAAGTCTGAAGCCTTGCCGATTTGTCAGCTTGTTGGCCTATTCATCCGCTATCCAACAAGGTATCGTTTGTCAAAATCCATCCATGTTAAGGTACCTTTAGACCGCGACACATGAGAGCCATGTCGGCCGGCGCTGACAGCCCGTGCTATGGGACTTACTGCACAAAAACGAAACTGGGGGCATCATGTACCTAGGTTTGGGGCTCACTCCAAAAGTTTCAAGTCTGAAGCCTTGCCGATTTGTCAGCTTGTTGGCCTATTCATCCGCTATCCAACAAGCTATAGTTTGTCAAAATCCATCCATGTTAAGGTACCTTTAGACCGCGACACATGAGAGCCATGTCGGCCGGCGCTGACAGCCCTTGCTATGGGACTTACTGCACAAAAACGAAACTGGGGGCATCATGTACCTAGGTTTGGGGCTCACTCCAAAAGTTTCAAGTCTGAAGCCTTGCCGATTTGTCAGCTTGTTGGCCTATTCATCCGCTATCCAACAAGCTATAGTTTGTCAAAATCCATCCATGTTAAGGTACCTTTAGACCGCGACACATGAGAGCCATGTCGGCCGGCGCTGACAGCCCTTGCTATGGGACTTACTGCACAAAAACGAAACTGGGGGCATCATGTACCTAGGTTTGGGGCTCACTCCAAAAGTTTCAAGTCTGAAGCCTTGCCGATTTGTCAGCTTGTTGGCCTATTCATCCGCTATCCAACAAGCTATAGTTTGTCAAAATCCATCCATGTTAAGGTACCTTTAGACCGCGACACATGAGAGCCATGTCGGCCGGCGCTGACAGCCCGTGCTATGGGACTTACTGCACAAAAACGAAACTGGGGGCATCATGTACCTAGGTTTGGGGCTCACTCCAAAAGTTTCAAGTCTGAAGCCTTGCCGATTTGTCAGCTTGTTGGCCTATTCATCCGCTATCCAACAAGGTATCGTTTGTCAAAATCCATCCATGTTAAGGTACCTTTAGACCGCGACACATGAGAGCCATGTCGGCCGGCGCTGACAGCCCGTGCTATGGGACTTACTGCACAAAAACGAAACTGGGGGCATCATGTACCTAGGTTTGGGGCTCACTCCAAAAGTTTCAAGTCTGAAGCCTTGCCGATTTGTCAGCTTGTTGGCCTATTCATCCGCTATCCAACAAGCTATAGTTTGTCAAAATCCATCCATGTTAAGGTACCTTTAGACCGCGACACATGAGAGCCATGTCGGCCGGCGCTGACAGCCCTTGCTATGGGACTTACTGCACAAAAACGAAACTGGGGGCATCATGTACCTAGGTTTGGGGCTCACTCCAAAAGTTTCAAGTCTGAAGCCTTGCCGATTTGTCAGCTTGTTGGCCTATTCATCCGCTATCCAACAAGCTATAGTTTGTCAAAATCCATCCATGTTAAGGTACCTTTAGACCGCGACACATGAGAGCCATGTCGGCCGGCGCTGACAGCCCTTGCTATGGGACTTACTGCACAAAAACGAAACTGGGGGCATCATGTACCTAGGTTTGGGGCTCACTCCAAAAGTTTCAAGTCTGAAGCCTTGCCGATTTGTCAGCTTGTTGGCCTATTCATCCGCTATCCAACAAGCTATAGTTTGTCAAAATCCATCCATGTTAAGGTACCTTTAGACCGCGACACATGAGAGCCATGTCGGCCGGCGCTGACAGCCCGTGCTATGGGACTTACTGCACAAAAACGAAACTGGGGGCATCATGTACACATGTTCGCTATACCGGTACTCCGGACTGGACATCACTTGAAAAGAGGAGGGAATCAAACCAACTTCTGTACAAGGTCATCAACAACACAGTACTGAAATATTCAACCACATGCAGTGCAACCAAAGTGATAGCTCCCGAGCCTGCATGTAGCCATTTTACAAGTGGCTTCCTTCCACTTTCACAGGCAAATAGGACCCATTTTTCATACGTGATTTTATCAAGCCTGCCCACAGATGGAAGCCTCAAACCCAGGGAGTTGATCCTTGGGTATATTTAAACAATTCCACCGTATTTAAAGCCAAACGGTCTCCGTTTTCAAAAGAAATTGTGGGGGCACTTTTTATGCTAATCAGCTGGCGTAGAAATTCTCGCTTGAATTAGTTCAGTGCACCCTGTAGTGCGCAATTAGGGCGCCCTCGGTTGGTCGTGGCGGTACAACCGCCCACAACAAAAGATATTTTTAGCATTTTATTGCAATTGGCACGTGATCGAATCACATGACATTGACGGGCTTGATGTGAAATCGACGACGCGGCGCGATCGGGCGACGAGTTGAAGAGCAGTTGCAAAAGCGTCTCCGTTTTCAGAAAAAAAGGTCAAGGATTTCACCGTCGACCGTCCTGCTGTGTTGAAAAAAGTAAGGATCACAGTTAACACCATTGTACCATGGGTTTTAGTTAGCCCAGGTTGGACGACGTCTTCATTGCATTGCGACTCCGTTGCGTGTACACAACACGGAGTCCAACCTGGGCTAGGTTTTAGTGTAAATCTATGAGGCGCCCTTTATGACTTTATTACGAAACCAATATATATAGAACGAAACCAATATATATAGAACGAAACCAATATATATAGAACGAAACCAATATATATGAAACGAAACCAATATATATAGAACGAAACCAATATATATAGAACGAAACAAATATATATAGAACGAAACCAACATATATATAGAACGAAACAAATAAATATAAAACGAAACCAATATATATAGAACGAGAAACAAAAATATATGGAACGAAACAAATATATATAGAATGAAAATCAAATATATATAGAACGTAACTCCAATAAATATAGAACGTAACTCAAATATATATAGAACGTAACTCCAATATTTTTAGAACGTAACTGCAATATATATAGAACGAACTTCAAATATATACATGTATATAGAACGAAACAAATATATATAGAACAAAAATCAAATATAGAACGTAACTCAAATATATATAGAACGTAACTCAAATATATATAGAACGTAACTCAAATATATATAGAACGAAACTCAAATATATATAGAACGAAACTCAAATATATATTCAACGAGAAAAATATATCGAACGAGAATTGTAATAATTATATAAAACGAAGCAAGTTGCAAATGGACTCAATTCAGGGTGACTGTAAGGTCAATGCCAAATTCTGCTAGATGTACTTCCAAAATCTGATTGATTAAACAAAAATCTGCCAAATCACCTATGATTTACACGAAATACATTGCAAACACCTGTATTCAAATGCAGGTGTTATAAAATGTCCTTAACCCCCCCCCCCCCCCCAAAAAAATTATAAAATTTCCTTTGTAAAAAAAGTTATTATTCTTTTTTAAATGGCTCGTGTCTAGCCTGGTTTCCGATGTCTACAGTACTTAACTGTGTTTTCGTACCTGAACGCTTAGACTGGCCAAAAAAAAGAAGCTTTTTTGGAGGAAATCAGCTCTGCTATATTTTCCCGTCCAAATTACCAATTTTGCAGAATTCTGCAAGATATCTGCTTTTAAAAAATTCATTTGCTAGTTTTTCTGTGAAACTTTTTCTTCAAAAACTGCTATATTTTCCCGTCAAAATCACCAATTTTGCAGAATTCTGCTAGAAATCTACTAGAATCAATTCAATCTGCTTGATTTTTTGTCAAACTTTTTTTTCCCCCAAAATCTGTCAAATTTAGCCGAAAGTCGGCTAAAACGGTCACCTTATTGAAACGTCAAATATATAAGACGAAGCACCCTCTAAATATATAGAATCAAACGTTAAAATATATAGATCGAAAAAGTAAAATATATAGATCGAAGCGCCCTCTACCGTCTACCTACGGAGAGTGAACATCTGAATTCCTGTGGTCTACATGTGGTGTACCCATAGTAATCCACGGTAATGCAAAAGCCCGACTACGCTCACGCACAAACCGCCCTGTAAGGTATGGAGTCTGGGAATTATAGTAGTTCAGTCGATTTCCGCCTAGTTCCGGATTTTTCCTAGTTCCGGATCGCTTCAATGTACCTTTTTATTTTTTTATATTTTTGATATAGTCTCCGATAATTATTTCTTTGGACGCCGTGCATTTCGAAAAGGAAAATGCAAGTTTCTTGATACACAAAGAGCTTTTTCGATAAAATCTTCAGAAGAGGAATTTTGGCCAGATTTCCGACTCGCACTTTATTGACATGTTTGGACGGTTCGTAGCAAATTACAGAAGCTGCGAATCGACGATAAATTTTCTCCTCGGTTCATCACTCGTACCGTGTGATTTCGAATATTTTGTTCAAACATTACAGTCGTATATAAGGCTCTTTCATCGAATGTTTGTTGACTGAATCAAAAAATGTTTTATAGTCTCTATAATTAATTTTTGAAAATTCGCCAATGAATGACCGTATGTTTTTGCCAAGTTCCGGATCGCGTGTGCACTTAGGACCAACTACACGCGCGTTAATAATCGATTACGTTGTGACGTTTTCGTGTGCTAAATCATGGAGGAAGAAAATAGATCTATTTTCTTCCTAGCCTCTATATGGTCAAATTGATTTCGGTCCGTGTGTGAGTTCATGCCGTTGTGCCGCAGACCGTTTCAAAATCATTTACGCAGCTTTCAAATGCACTAAGCAGCCTGAATGATGTTTGCTATCCGGAACTAGAAAAACGACTGTTCCTAGACTCCATACCTAACAGGGCGGTTTGTGCGTGAGCGTAGTCGGGCTTTTGGACTTCTATGGGTACAACACATGTAGACCACAGGAATCCAGATGTTCACTCTCCGTAGGTAGACGGTAGAGGGCGCTTCGATCTATATATTCTACTTTTTCGATCTATATATTTTAACGTTTGATTCTATATATTTAGAGGGTGCTTCGTCTTATATATTTAACGTTTCAAAAGGGTGACCGTTTTAGGCGAATTTCAGCTAAATTTGACAGATTTTTTTGGGGGAAAAAGTTTGACAAAAAATCAAGCAGATTGAATTGATTCTAGTAGATTTCTAGCAGAATTCTGCAAAATTGGTGATTTTGACGGGAAAATATAGCAGTTTTTGCAAGAAAAAAAGTTTCACAGAAAAACTAGCAAATGAATTTTTTAAAAGCAGATATCTAGCAGAATTCTGCAAAATTGGTAATTTGGACAGAAAAATATAGCAGAGCTGATTTCCTCCAAAAAAAGCTTTATTTTTTTGGCCAGTCTAAGCGTTGAGGTACGAGAACACAGTAAAGTACTGTAGACATCGGAAACCAGGCTAGACACGAGCCATTTTAAAAAGAATAATAACTTTTTTTTACAAAGGAAATTTTATAATTTTTTTTGGGGGGGGGGGTTAAGGACATTTTATTACATCTGCATATGAGTATAGGTGTTTATAATGTATTTCGTGTAAATCATAGGTGATTTGGCAGATTTTTGTTTAATCAATCAGATTTTGGAGGTACATCTAGCAGAATTTGGCATTGACCTTACAGTCACCCTGAATTGAGTCCATTTGCAACTTGCTTCGTTTTATATAATTATTACAATTCTCGTTCGATATATTTTTCTCGTTCTATATTTATTTGAGTTTCGTTATATATATTTGAGTTTCGTTCTATATATATTTGAGTTTCGTTCTATATATATTTGAGTTACGTTCTATTTATATTTGACTTACGTTCTATATATATTGCAGTTACGTTCCATATATATTTGATTTTCGTTCTATATATATTTGTTTCGTTCTATATATATATTTGATATTCGTTATATATATATTTGAGTTTCGTTCTATATATATTTGAGTTTCGTTCTATATATATTTGAGTTACGTTCTATATATATTTGTTTCGTTCTATATATATTTGTTTCGTTCTATATATATTTGTTTCGTAATAAAGTCATAAAGGGCGCCTCATATAAATCTGCAATCATGATGTATTGTAAGCGACTAGTGCAGGGCCCGTCGAAAATGTGCCTGTTCGGAAGGGGCAGAGAACTGCTCATACAAACAACGCACGCAGTTCAATGGTGTTGTCTTCACAGGTTGAACGCACACTCACAGTAGCAATGTTAGAGGTACCGCGATATTGACATTTCCTATTCTGGTGACACACAAAACTGAAGTTTTTTAAATGAATGTTACTGTGTCCCATCAAGCTATTTCAGCTTCAAATCACTCCTACATGTCGACAAATATGTCTTCTTTTACACAATGGCAATAGATCGGGAAAAACATACCTCAATTTGTCCAAAACCAGAAGTTTCAGAGCGTGATTTTCACGACGGCCGTCATGAGCGCGGCCATTCCATTTTGACACTAAGTTTGGCATTTTCTAGCCCGACTGCGTCTGGCCGTACAGTACTATCGCAAGCTCTGTAGTACGGCCAGACGCCCGATGCTTCCACAGAGACTGAATTTTGTTGGCCGCCGATGTAGCGATTTTGCTACATCTTTCGATCATGATTATCTTTTCATCCAGGGCACAAATTTCCAAAGTTAAGGTTCATAGTCGTAGAGCAACTCATACCTTTTCGAAAAAACGTTGTTTGGTCTCAATATTTTCATCCATCTGGCCACAAGACGAATTTCAGTCATCAGATTCCACAAATATCGTCCCCCATGCGATCCCCCATGCGATTTCAAAATGGCGGCCGCGCTGTAATGTATGCAATATGCAGGCGTGCATGCGCAAACTCATGAATATGCATAAAGAGTCTGTGACGTATGACCTCGTGTTTTTGGACGTGCGTACGGCGGGGCCGTACGTCCAAAAACACGAGGTCATACGTCACAGACTGTTATGCATATTCATGAGTATGGTTGGTTTTAATTAACAAATACATTAACTCGAATGACAACCAGAAGAGTTCCAGGAGTATTGTGTCTTTGGGAGGACATAACTTCTGAACGGAAGCACCTATGACAATGTTGTTTGCACCATTGAATTTCTCCCATCGAGAGCTTTAATTTGATGTATAGTTTGGCCATAATTCATGTAAAAATGCTACTCTCAGGTTAAACGCACATTTTTTACATGCACCGTGGACAGACACAAAGAGATTCCTCAAATTAGCATGATTAGTAGGAAAACATGAGGAAGAAAAGTGTGCTATTGTTTATTTACCCATTGTTGATGATGGAATAGTCCCCCCCCCCCCCCATGTGAAGCATCCATTGTTGATAACAGTCCCCCAGTGGATGTCAGCTATCTCTATTCACAGACACACACAGGCCATTTTTTATGAGACATCGACAATGGGGCCAGCTATGCGTCTCTGTTGTCTACCAAAGTTTACGCACGTACATGTAGTGTTAATTGTGACGTCATGCACCTTCAGTGGCGCCATATGCATGCATACACAGGCCAAATCTTTCTTGAGAGAAATCCTGCTTGGGGACCAATTTGCAGCTTTTGTGCCACTTTTCGAGAACCGCTCGTCCAAACATCTTCAAACTTGACACTGCACATTCTGGTGTCCCGAGCAATACACCTGCCGATATTCAACTTCATATGGTGGCAGGTGCCCGGTTCTGGAGATAATCGACGTACAGATGTACAGACAGACAGACACACAGAGATTCCTGGAATTATAGTAAGGATAGTGTAATAATAATATCGAATCGCGGATAAAAAATTACTAGCAGTAGCACGTTTGTATATGGTGTAAATCGACAATTTTCTTTTGTCCCTCTTCCCTTTTCCTTTGTTTGTACTCGAACTTTTTCGGAACAGCTCTCATTGGTTTTTGAACACGTTTTCCAACCGAGGAGTCCTCGAATCATCGATGATGTTGCATGCGTGTGTCATCGATTTACATCATAAAGTAACATGGCACTTTATGAAATAAGTTTCATTGATTCATTAATATATTTTCATTGAAATACAAATCCCTTTTTGAAATTTAAATAATGAAATGTTGTTTCAGGTAATTCAAGTTGATAAAGGATGTTCTACATAATATCTTCGTTTGATTTCTCCTTTTACAAATATTAGAGTGACAAGGAAAGATGTTGAAGATCTTTCTATTTGCACTGGTGGCCTTGGTTTGCTACACTGCCGGGGCACCAAGTACCATGGAGGATGAGGCCAAACACTGGGCATTGCTGGTAGCCGGCTCCAGTGGCTGGTACAACTACCGACATCAGGTAACTATATGAATCCATTGCTTTTAGCAGCCATCTTTGGAGGTGTGTTTTATTTTGAAAGAATGTTGCAACCTGAACCTGACGCCACTTTTTTATTTATATATAGGCCTACTGGTATCTACCCCCAACTATGGTCCTCCCTGTAGCAGTCAGAGCCCCCACCAATGCAGAGCCAATCACCAATGGCTTTGTTGACTAAGTACTACGAAACAACAACTACATTGTACAAAAAAATGGAGATCAAAATGCAGCCATTTGCCAGAAAATTGGCCAGCACCAGCTCATTTCAGTAAACGTTAGATAAAGTTTGTCGGAGATATCTACTGCCATCAAACTACTAACGTACATTTTGTAAAATGGCAATGGCCAAATTTCCACTGCCTGATTCATTAGGCAGTGAGATGTCAATTGTTTGTTTGTTTGTTGGGGTGTTTGTTTGTTTGTTACACTTCTTTCTTTTCAAAAGTGGTAAATGTTTGTTGCCGTTTTTTCAATATTCAGTTTTGTACTTCTATTTCTCAAAGATCACACTTATATTTCCCAGTGGCGACTCAACACTCTTCAATTTGGGGGGAAAGTGAAGGAGGGGGGGGGGGGGGAAGGCTGGACATCATTTAAGCTTGTGGGTGCTATTGCATTTATGGACATGTCGCTGCATTTTAGGGCCATTTATCCGGGTGTTTCCAGTCTTAAAAAGACATACATGTACAGTGTACAGTATTGACTTTGAGTCCCTTTTCTTTTTTCCTTTTTGTTTTACCTACATTTTTTTTGTTTTTTTTGTGGGGGGGAGGGGATTGTGGGGGAGGGAGCAATTGCAACATAACACTTAATATTACTCTCTACGCCTTTTACCGTAGTTTTAACATGTAGTTGAATTTGATACTTAGTAGAAAAGGAATTGAGTATGAAAACATCCATCTGTTAGTAAATAATGAGCTCCGTATTCTGGCACACTGTATTAATTACCACCCTTCGGCTCAGAATCAACTTCAAAGTTTATCAAAGTTCCCCACACGTTGCCGTTGTAGTGTGAATATCCGACTCCATGAAATGTGGACTCATTGGTAGTACTGCGCACGTGTGAGTACGATACTGTGCTATTTTTAGGATCGTTTCGGGAGAGTGACCTGTGATGTGCGAGCGATCAACCAATAATAGGGAAATAGGGGTCCGATTTTCATAGGAGTCAGATTTTCATGTGACGCCGTCATTACTGATTACAGGCCCAAAAAATCAGCTCAGTCTGTAAAGTGCTTTTGTCTAAATGCTAATTCTTTATGGGTTTCTTTCCGACAGGCTGACATATGCCATGCCTACCAGGTACTGCATGCTCACGGCATTCCAGATGACAACATTGTTGTCATGATGTACGATGACATTGCCAACAATGAGCAGTAAGTTATAAATCAGTGCGATGCACGTTGAATCTGATACCAATATACTCTGCCTTGATGTTGGGGGTGTTTGATGCTACATTGTACCTATTGATGGACCTACTGTGGATATGAAAGCTCCTTAAAGTAGTCAAGAAGTTGTTTTGACGAACATCTTTAGGAAACAGTGTTTGCTTTATGTGAGATTGTCAAGTTGATGGCCAGGTTGCTAAGAGAACGAAATTCCATGTTTAGTTTAATGGACTCGCCTACAGGTAACTATTAAACATTAGTTTACAGATGTTGAAAACCAACAGGAACGATGTGGAAAAAGAGGGCAGGGTTCTGATTTTTCGGGGGGGGGTGGATTTTTTGGATGAACTACAAAAGGGAGGACACAAAGCAACGCAAAAAAAAAAGAGATAGCAATTTTATGTTGGAATTTAACAACTCTGACAACTTTTTCTGTTATCACCAAACTACATTGTATATATTGAGATTTTATTTGATTTGCTACTTGACAAAATGCTTGATGTTATTCACAGACTTTTTCTTGAAAACACCCGTAATGTACATGTAGAAGCATTGCAGTGGGCTTTTCTGAGTGAGGTTTTGTTTTTACTTGAGAAGATACAATATGGCAAGGAGTTTCATCATTTTTATTTGGATGCTGTGGTTCAGAAACAAGATATGTATTCTCGGGATTTTCTGCTTTTCTTTGTTGGTAGAAATCCAGACAAGGGTGTGATCATCAACCATCCCAATGGACCTAATTTGTACCCTGGTGTGCCCAAAGACTACAATGGTGATGTGAGTAATTAAATCATTCGATAAATTTGGGGACAACTTTTTTTCCTGTCCTTGTTATACCTGAAATTTATAATTGTGTAAAGCAAACTATACCTATCCAACAAGTAAAAAATTGTTTGAAGTCCTTTAAAGCCCGAGTCCATCATTTGCAGCTATCCAAAATGTAACCGGCATAATTATTGTTGAAAACATACTGGTTGAAAGATAGTAAGGGGACTAAACTCCCTGTGAAATTATCCTTTCTGGCAAGCTCTCATTTTGAAGAAATCAACGAAAGAAGGCATTTCCAACGGTGCTTCTTAAGAAGCACCGTAGGAAAATTTAAATTAGTTGTTCGTTTTGTTATTCAGCGCAGCGCGCACAAGCATTGGAACGACGCACAGGCGCGCGCAAATGCTATAATTCGTTGGATCAGTGCGCAACATTGCATAAAGCTGCAATTCAAAACAATTCAAAACATGATTTAGCAACTTTTGATTTTGAATTGAGATCCGAGAATGCTGTTTTTCTCGGAATATGAAGCTGAAGCTGAGCTGAAACTTCATCAAGTAAGTTGTTCAGTATCCTTCATTAGATTTGTTGCTTCAAACGAACAAAATGCACTAATTACAAATGATGGACTATAGCTTTAAACAGACATGCAACTTTTCCTGGGATCAGCTGATTTCCTCTTTTTCCACTTCCAATGTACGTGTGCCATTGAAAATAGAAACACACTGTACAAAGTCTTGGAAAGATTTGAATTTCCTCTTTTTTTGTGACTTCCCAGTTGCATGGCTGTTTAAATGATGCTTGAATGGAAAGTCTCTAAGATCAGAGGTGACAGAGACAGGAAAATGTCACCCTAAATTTATAGAATGACCTGTATGCATATTAATAACTTGTATGATTAGGTTTCAAATTATGACAAAAAGTCACTGTATGACACCATATATAGGGAGCACAGAAACCAACATTGCGTTGCGTTCTATACTAATGGGGGAAGGGACACGTATTTCTGAAATCAATTTTCTCGATAATACCATGGAAATGACCATGTCAAGTATTCAACAAATGCCATAAAGTCTTATTTTGTCTCCTGTAAATGACACCACAGTGCTGTGGATAAGCCAAATGTCAGTATTTGAGATGTTTGATGCAGTACACGTACTTGTAACTGTCATATAAACTTGTCATGTGCGTGACATGTTGCGACACCTCTGGAAAGGTTTCAGTTTTTTTGTCAGCATTTATATATGAAAAATATATGAAATCAACTAACTTTGTTCTTGTTTGACTTTTGTGGGTTGGCTATAGGATGTGACTCCCAAGAACTTTCTGTCAATTCTCCAAGGAGACAAAGCGGCAATGCAAGGCATTGGCAGTGGCAAGGTCATCGCTAGGTACGTAGAATAACCACCTAGGTGGTTTCTCAGATCAGAGTCAAATTGAATGGGTCTACTTACTTTAAGCAAATCATCATCATTGTCCGGGAACTTGTGACTGCTCATGAGAAGTTCCGAGCCCTTACGTACCCAGGCGGGTCCGCCAAGTGCATTCTCCCACCCCAGAAGAAAAAGAAGAAAAGGTCGAAATATTTTGGAGCATCCTTATCGTACAGTATAATACAATACAATAAAGTCATTTATAAAGTGCTCGTACTCCAAGATGGTTTTACGCCACTGAACCAATAGCAAGAAAATTATGCAAATGCTATTCATTAATAAAATGAATCATTAATCACAAAAATAAATTAGCGGAACATTAACAGAAAATAATGAAAACATGCATCTCTAATCAAATGAATGTGTTTCGTAACTTGGTCAGCCTTGCCTTCTCACAAGTGTAACCACCAATTTTTTTTTTTTCTGGTGGAAGATGACATTGCGTATATATGGTATCAAAAGACTAGCAAAATAGTCACAACAATTCACGTGAATTCGTGTAGTAAATTCCACGTAAATTTGACAGAATGTAGTGCAGGGATTTGACATTTTATTGCAGGAAAACAAAGTTGCTGTAAAAACAAATTTGCAAGGTGAAATATATTTTTTGACTGTAAACTTAATAGAGAGCCATAAAAGACAGTAAATGGCTGATGTATTCGACATGTTCAATAACAACATTACCAAAACATAATGAGCACATTGTATTGAGTGTTGTTGTCGAGTTCCACTTGAATATTTATATTGTTCAAAAGGTTCTTGGGGACCTTTAACCAAACAGGGGAATAGGGGATCTGAAATGACAACTGAGCCAGACAAGCAATTTACAATTGAAGTAATTGAAGTCGCAATATGATCCCACAAAAATCTGAAAACTCTCTTTTGAGGATGAAGTGTCTGAAATTTATAAATTTGCCAATTTATCGGGACATGTAAAATTTCAATCATTTGGCCCCACAGATGGAGATTTCAGCTACGAAGGTCACCTTTCATTGTATGCACCTGCAAAAATTCTTTACCAACTTCATTTGACCTTTAATATATAAACATGATGAAAGGCTTTAAAAGGCCACCAAGCGGTTATATCACAATGGTTGTGCTTGCACTGCTAATACTATAGCAGTCGTGATCAGTGAACTGTTAATTCAGACTGAATGAGGAAATTGTAGTTGTGGCCCATTGTACACATCATGACTTAACCCATGAAGGTTATAGCCATTTGATCATTGACAGTAATGTCTGCATTGCATACTGCATTTGTTACCGTGAAAACTGACACAATGGGGATTAACTACTCAAACTAAAATAAATTCAGGATCTTTGAAAGGAAAAGTCGCAAGGACATTGAATTAATAGAGACAAGGGACCCAATTCTAGATTTCAAACCAAAAAGGACCAAAAAGAATTATTTACAAAAAAACCTTGAAACCGAAAACCAGAACTAAAACCCTAAAACCAATGATAAAACCTGATAAGACTTGATTCCAACTGTATCGTCCCATATTTAGATTCACTTGGGGAATCGGAAATAAGAGTACAGCTCTGTCATAAAAAGTAGTACATTTTTTGTTAGAAAACAGATTCTTCGTGTTTGCCTGCAGACCCAAACATTTAGGCACCCAGGCACATTGCATCACAGCAATTTCCACAACAAATCCACCTTTTAGGTTGCCCTGTTCAATTTACAGTTTAAATCGTAATAAGAGCAAAGTTTTGCATATATAGAGTTTGAAAGGAAAAACATTGTTTGCGTTACTCTGTTTACAGTGGACCAAATGACAATGTATTTGTTTACTTCTCTGACCACGGAGCCACGGACCTGGTTGCCTTCCCTACATCCACGGTAAGAAAACACAGTCGAGGAAAAAATAATCCATCAAATTTTGTTTTTCACAAGACCTTTATAATCTTTAGATAAGATTCAGCTCCATTGATTGTTACCTACTGGAAAATGTGCTTATTTGCTAATGTAATAGTTTTATGCGAAAACATGCTTCCAAACATGATAATTAATGTGAAACACTTTTTGTTAGCATCAGTCATATAAATTTCTAAGTAGCTGACAAGCATTGTGAAGACACGGCGGCTGAAGAAAACGACTTCATTTTTTTAGAAAACAATTGGACAACCTCAAAGACGGACCGCTGAAAGTTTGCTTTCGATTGGTTGTCTCGATGTTTGAAATAAACTCACTATTCTGTACTCGGATAAACTTCAGCCATTTATTCAATTAAAACAATAATTGAAAAGGGAAGGAATTCATTAAAAAATATAAATGTATTCTTGTTGAATTTGAGGCAATGCTATAAAAGGATGGGATGCTTTAGTATCTGCTGTGTTTCACTGTCTTACCTTGAGACTAATTTTGCACAGGCATTTTTCGTCATTCCTGGATAAGTAACGCCCTGAAACGCTATGTGTGTGTTTAATTTCTTCATTTTTTCCAGCTTTCTGAGAAGGAACTTAAAGATGCTCTGACTAAAATGGCAGCCGAGAAAAAGTTCAAGAAGGTATGTATTTGTGGCTCTGAACTTAAACAAGTTTAGGTTTTATGATTTTTCTTTTAAAGGATAGGTCATGGTAGTTCACAGGTCTTAGTATTTAAGTTGTGTGCACTTATCCTTTTCACATGTCTGCCTGCTTCCACCATTATATCTTGACATTCCCTATGTTTGTACAGATCTATAGTTTTAGTCCATTTTGAAAAATGTTTTTATAATTCGATCATTAATGATGTGGTGATATGTTTTCATGGCATGCCTGAATTGTGTGAAATTGGTGTTGGAGACATGTTTCAAGACCTCATTCAGGCTTGCCATGGAAGGTATTTAAGTTAAAGGGGACGAAGCTGTGTTCACAGGAACGGAGTGCCTATCTCTCTTTCAAAGCGATTGGGCCAGACTCTTACATGTATAATGCTTCTGTGGGGGATCGCCACATCGCCTCCACAGCGAGTCTGTTACCTTCCCAGCATTGAATAATGCTGGCACCCATTTAACACCTGGGTTGAGAGGAGTAATTGAGGTAAAGCACTTTACTCAAGGGCACAACACGCATGGCAACGGCGGGGCTCGAACCTATAATCTCACGATGAAATCTTTGCTCCACTGCTAGACCACTTGTGCCCACCTCCCCCCCCCCCCAAAAAAAAATGTTATCGTAAACATGTACAGATGTAGATTCCAACGTTTTCCACCCCAAGCTTTTTAATGTATGTCCAGGGTTATTGTATTTTTCTTAAAATGCAGGAGAACCAATTCCTTTGATTACTTTCAGAGCATGTACTTTTCATTTTTCTGTATGTAGTTGGTGTTCTACCTGGAGGCCTGTGAGTCTGGGTCCATGTTTGATAGCTACAAGATTGACAATGTCTTCACAACCACAGCTTCGGGTCCAGATGAATCGTCCTATGCTTGCTACTATGATGAAAAACTAGAAACGTATCTGGGAGACGTGTACAGCGTGAAGTGGATGGAGAACTCTGATGTGGTATGGCAAAAGGCAGTCAAGTCTATCACAAGTCCTTCATAATTCCATCACATGTCCGTCCTTCAGTCTCAAGTCAAGTCACTTGCTATTCAAATGAACAGTAACACAAGCTTTCATCTTTGTCATTGTTCAGCCTGTTCCTGTGACTGAACTTGTGACTGAACTCGTGAAGGGACTTGTGAAAGGACTTGTGATGGACTTGACTATGTCGCTGCAATCAAAAGTGTTTTAAATTTGTTTTGCAAAATCAAATAAGTTCTTTATATTCTGTATATTGAATTTCAGTTTGGAAAGAATAATTCCTGTTAATGTCAGAAATGGACCAAATACAAAAGAATAAATATTATTCTGTGTGCTTCCCATCATTTGGTGCTGATTTCATTGCTTTGCTAAATATGGAATTCTGTGCATGCTTAGTTATGATACCCATTCTTACACAGAAACTCTATGCTCATCAAATAAGTACAGAATTTGTACAAGTGAAAATTTCTCGCTTACCTTTGAAATACGCTGATCATGAATTGAATGCATTTTTGGGTAGATATAGTGGAACTCTGCTTACAATAAGCAGAGCCATGTAATGTACGGGGATAGATCACATAGATTGCTCAATATTTCAGAAGTACTAGCCAGTGAGCGTTATTTTTGTGCTTTCATTTTGCAGGCTGACTTCAATGTTGAAACTCTGTTGAAACAATTTGGTATTGTGAAGGCGGAGACCAACACAAGCAAAGTCCACAAATATGGCGACATGTCCTTTGATAAAGACACACTGGGACAGTACCAGGGAGAGGGTGCAGAGGTGAAATCGGCTGAAAAAGCTGCACAGTTGACAGAAGCACCTGTGAGTATGCATCTAATACGTTCATTTTAATAAGTTTTAAGCTTTAAATAATGATCATTTTTGAAAATTCAAAGGTACATAATGTATGCGCCATTTGGAAACGCTCAAAACGACACTGCCAAATATATTGAATTAATCTACTTGATTGTAGCTGAAATTAATTATAGTATCAATCATCCTGTGAAATTGTTGCGCATGGTATGCTGTCATTTTAAAGAAAAGAGAAATTACCATCATTTTCCAACGAACCCCCCCCCCCCCCCCGAATTTTCTTCAATACTGCCCTCAAATGACCAAATTTAGTTTAGTTTGCAATCGGTTCCGTATCTGTGAATGAGAACTATTTCCTCCAGAGACAACAAGGAATCATACCACAAGAGAAGATAAGTCAGAACATTTTGAAAAACAAAAGAAACGCATCTTGAAAGGCATGGCTTTTAATGGTAACTTTGCTTTGCGTTTAAAAATACGAAGAAGCCTTTTTTCTGCTTCAGATGTATTGTACTGTTCTTTGAATTGGCAAAAATAGTACGTCCCCCAAAAAATAAAAATGATGTACATTACATTTAAGAAAAAAGTTTTTGACCTTTTACCTTTTTTAAAATCAGTTAAGCAAACTCAAAACCAAATGGTAGTCATTTTTAATCTAAAATAGTTTGATAAACAGTTCTGTCTACGGTACATGCACTGAAATGGTCAGCAGGAATTATTTACAGTGTGGGCATTGAAGTGAAAGCAAAACAGTGGACTAGAAGGCAAACAGTAACATGCATACATTACATGATTTATGGCATCACATTAAGCAGGTAGACATTACTCTACCAAAGACCAAATGCAAATTCTGCCTGAAAAACAAACCATGACACATGTGTTTTAAACTTGAGATTGCTTACTGCAATTAGCTTTATTAGCGATGAATTCTTGTCTTGCATGCATGTTCAATATTTACAACATTCTTTTTTGAACCAATTTTGATTTGAAAATTCATCACAGCTAGTCATTCCCTCATTGTTTTTTTTCACCATAATATATGGGTTTTTTTTGGTTGCATGGCAGCTTGATGCTGTGCCTAGCCCAGAAGTTCCCATGGCGATCTTGCATCACCGTTTAATGGCCGCCCGGGATCCACGCAAACGCAGCGAGATACTGCAGGAGATCACTACCCTTGGAAAGGTAAGAGTTAGAAATTGGCAGCTCCCTCTCCTTATGAAATAAGACTCAGTAGCTTAGTAAGTCTTTGGAAATTATTTATAATTTTATAAAGTTGAACAAAGAAATTGATTGGAGTGGGGTTTGAACCTGCGACCTCCGGATTGCCGTTCCAGTACTCTATGAACTGAGCTTATCCAGCCCTATGTTGGCAGTTCCCCATTCTGTGTGTCTTTGTTGAAGGGGGGGGCTAGTCAGAAGCCATAAACCCGTATATGCCATGTAGCCAGGGATCACGCCCAAAGTCACACAATGCTAGCAACATTAGTAATGCCGCAAACCTGGAAATCGCAAACGATGATACCTCAGAATGGATCAAATAAACCATAAAAGGAAACTGACAAGGAAACCTAGCATTTCCTGTTCAATTCTGTGAAAATTCTCTTTGACTTGCAGGTTATAGTTACTTTGAACTTAAAATATGGATTGAAATAATATTACATTACAATGAATGGGGCTTTGTTTATTATTTAATAACTGTGGGTGTGCACTTATATGCAGTGAATATAAAATGAGGTTTGTGGCTGGCACCACACTACTTTGCATCAACAGAATTTCCCAGTTGGAAGTTTTTCACATTCTGGTAAATCTTAGTTACCCTAAATTAACAGATAAAACCATTTAAAAGTTATCCAATCTAGTCAAAAAATAATTGGATAAACAATTTCACAGAGGGTGATTATTTTTTGTGTATTTGTTGTCTCAGGGTAGTTATAAGATTTTTTTACGATGCAAGGAAAGGCCTAGATATTTTAATAATGGTCTTAGTCATGACCTAAATGTAGCTTTGGTTCTTAATGCTTGCCCTGCACAGAACCAGCAAGCCATGGTGTCGGTGTTGCAAGCAACTGTCCAGACTGTCCTAAATGACAACGGAGACCGGGCGGACAAAGTAATGACCCGGCATGGCGTCCAGGTGACCAACTGGGACTGCTACAAAACTGCCGTCGAGCATTTCTCTGAGAAATGCTTCCCCTTCCAAAAGGTCAGTTCCTAAGAACAGCAGGCACCCATAGGTGATCTGAGAATTGTTAGGGAGGGGTGATTAATGGGGAGTGTGACCTGGTGTTAGGGTTTGTGACTCATCACATGTCAGGGGTTCGAATCCAGCAGCTGGTCATATGTTGGGTGCTTTGGCAAGCCACTTCACCCCCACTTGCCCCTCTCCAAAGAGTATAAAGGGGTACCGGCATTAGCTGAGGAGTAACCTGCGATGGACTGGCATCCCATCCATGCCAGGGGGACTATAAATATGTTCAGTCTTTTCACGCCAAGTATCAAAACGGGAGATAAAATGCTGGCCTGATGGGCTGGATTGGCTTTTAACAGAATTTGCTACATTTTTTTCTTAAATGTGAATAAGTCTTGTAGTGGTAGTGGAAAGCTTTTCCCAAGACCTCTTACAAGTACTTATATAATGAAAGTCCAACGTGAATCAGTAAAAGCTCTTGGTGCTTTGACCATACAAACAAATTGGATTGTTTTTAAGTTAAAGTAGGATTAATCACTAAACTGGGTCAGTTGATCTCTAAAAGGTCTAAAAAAAAATGAATTAGCATGATTTTGACTCTGAAAACACAATTTTACTCAAAGATGGATATCGACTCAAATACCCGGTAGGCACATATCAGCATTCTTTCATCAAAACATGCAACTCTATAGGATAGAAAGTTGGCTTTCTGTCTCTGAAGGTATAGTTGCACGAACATTCATATTCTACAGTTTAACTTTTTTTTGCAATTATTATCGTTTGTGATAAGCATGTTTTTGAGCCCAAAATGGGTTCTTGCTCTCGAAAGTGTACCTTTAATGCAAGTATGATTTTTTTTGGTCCACATTTTCATCCCTGCAGCATGACTATGCTCTGTCGCTGATGTACATCTTGGCTAACCTTTGTGAGGAACGTGTGCCTACAGAGTTGTAAGTGTAAATTTCCCATGTCTTGGATGCCCCTTTTTCATGAGAATTCTTTGCGTTAACGATTTCATTTTGCTGGCCATGCATTGTTGGAATACTTCGTTACCCTTGTGAATATTACATGTACATTGCAAAATCTTTGTCTAATTTGGTGCAGTTATGTAACTGTGTGATCATCCATCACAGAAAATTGTGAAGTCAGATTTTTCCCCCAACACTTTAACAGTACATGTATTTAAACAAACATCCTTTCGACATTTTAAATAAAAAGACTAATAGTGCATACATAAACATATAATACCAGAGTCTTATATAGAAAATGTATCTACCAACAATTTAGGTACTCAAGGCGCTGGTAATTATGTCTGTTTATAAAGACAGGTAAATGAAGTTTATGAGAAATATGAGACACATTATGTAGCACCTTTATAAAGAGCACATGCTTACGTTCACACATGCTTAATGTTGCATATTTTTGTTTGTAAAAGTCAAGAGTTTTTTTCACAAGACTGAAACAAATTTTCTAGGCATCCTGCAAAATCGCAATTTGCAAACATTTTTACAGTTACATTGCAGGTACCTCAGAGGGTGTTTTTGACTCACACCTTTTTGACTCACACCTTTACCATTGTCCTCTAACTCTGCCTTAATGCATTGATGTTCAACACATCATCATTAAGTCTAGGTTTAGAAAACCCATTCAGTTATGGTTTTCAACATACACAAACTATCTGCTGATAATTTGATAATTGAAATGAGTTTTGTGTTACTTATGTATCTCCTTCTGTAGGATCACCACTGCCCTCGATGCACAGTGCCAGTAAATCTTGTACGGCGTATCGTTATCCTGCCTCAGCTACGAGAGCGCTGTTGGTGGTTGCGCATTTGGAACCCAGCGAATAATGGAATGTAGTCAACGGGATGAGCATAGTACTCAAATCGGTAGCTGTGATTAAGTACTGAAATATATAATCAGGATTTTTGATTGCTGTGTTTTGTACTGTGTAATGAACTTTATAAATAGAAGATTTTTTAGGTCAATGTTGAATTTTTTTTTTTAGAATATGCTTGTTTCTCTCATAAATGTTTGTTTTTAATGATGCAAATAAGTGGTTGTGAATGATTTTTAAAACTTAAGATTTATTTTGTACTTTGTAGTTGTTTGTTTTGCTAATTATATTATTACGGTGAAAGGGGTGGTTTGTTTTGCTTATGATATTATTGTGGTGAAAGGGCATGTTATTTTTGTATACAATAACTTCTTTTTTTATTTTTGTAGTCTGTTAGTTTTTACATTCCACTATTAACATGTATGTCATCCTAAGCACATGCACATTTTCAAAGACAGAACACTGCCGATATATTGCTGCAATTTTTTAAAGTTTTAAATACCTCTGCAGATTTTACTGTAAAAAAAAATATATAAAACTCACTGGCTTTTTGTATAAAGGGTTTATTAGAGGTCATTGTTTAAATATGCTTCAAATATTTCTTTGCCTACAGAATTTGATGGATTTTAATGTAACTTCAATGGAGTCGAAGCTCAAGGTCATCTACGTTTTTTTTACTATTTTTGAAGAACACAAACATAGGGATTGACCGCGAAAAAACCCGACACGTGCGATCCGTGGATCACCTTGTTTTCCCCCTGATATTTTGTCTTTTAGGTAGTTGATGGCAGCTTGTGGTACGATTTTTAACATTTATTAACGGTATCTGTAGTACTCGGAATGCAGAGGCATATCAGTTGTATGTATAACCCAGTATGACAGATTTGCAAAAGTTGCGGAAGAAAAACCCCTTACTTTTTGGTATTTTGTTAAAGGATCAATGCTATGGAGTGCTGTGGTTAAGGGCACTGATTCATGTTCTGCGGGTAAAGCTGCAGGTCGTGGGTTCGAGTCCTGGCGGGGTCATGGTGCATGTGCCCTTGAGCAAGGCACTTTGTCACTCATTGCTTCTCTCCACCCAGGAGTAAATGGGTACCTATGAGGGCAGTGATGGTTATTGTGATTGAATTAGCTTCCTTGCGCCTAACAGGCAGCATCGAGCTGTATACTCCCCAGGGAGCTGAGATGGTATATGGAATGTTTAATTGGCCCCATGATTAGGGGTAATAATGTAAAGCGCTTTGATCTTAGTTAAAAGCGCTATATAAGAACCTGTTATTATTATTATTATTATTATATGCTTTTCAGAGGCGGAATCAGACATTGGTGCATTCGGTTGGAACATTGTACTTTTTGGAAGGCAGCTCATGACTATTCATAGGATAGAATTTCCCCCCCCCCCTATCATATTCCAATCATATATATTTTTAAATGGTTATGGTACCCACTGCTATATCAGATTTGAACCAGCCAGCTGACCCTGATAAGCTCAGTGGCCGAGTGGTAAGACGTCTGCACTAGTAAGCATGGGAATTTTCCTCACACGCCCTTCAACACCACCACCGAGTACAACATGTATACAATGTTAAAGACATCAGGGCAAAGCTGAATATTGAAGTCATGATGAAAGCAATAATTTGTACAACTTCTTAAAATCCAAAAAGTGGATTGTCATGTTTCAAAACAAGGTTTGGTTTGTCAGGGTAATGAACTTCATAAACAAATGTTTAAGTACTGGTATTCTCAGTGCGTCATATATTCAAAAGGGGGAAAGTGTTTAATTTTGAAGAAGAAAAAAATGGAAATAAAAAATAATGGATTCGGCAGTTATTGTTATTATTAAAATTCTTGTAATGGTGTCAATGGCTCAACTCCTGCATTTATGTAAGACCAAGTAAACATTTCTGGAAAATAAAAGGATTTTTTTTTGACACGGGGAAACATGTACCTGTACAACAAATATAAAGTCACACTTAAACTCTAGAATTCTGTAGGAATACCATTGATTGGTTAATACTTTATTAGTTTTTTTTTATACAAACATGAAATACATAGGCAACTGTCAAATAACTTAAAACTGTACAATGAAGAAAACACGCACACAAACAAACAGAACATGAAAACAACATGGGTGGGGTTGGGAAAATGGATTTTCGTTCATACCTGTTAACAATTACGTATTTTAACTTGCTTTTATAACCCCAGCATGCAAAAGTTTTGTTTCAAAGTTTTGTTTTGAAGTGGAACAATACGTTACTGGTCGAGGATAAATCATACATAGTCATTAATCTTCTGATTAAATGCCCGTTCATTCTTCACGCGAAAGCGAAGTGAATTTCATGACGTCTACAACTGAAGTTTTACTGTGACGTACCCTAAAGAAACGGCATCGCACTAAAAACTGCATGAAGTACATGTTTTAACAGGCCTAAAGAGGCAATTTTGTTAACACTAACCACTGTGGACAGGTTTGGACAATCTCAAGTCGAGCTGAAGTACATTGCCACTTTCTCATTCTCAAAGTAGTGCAAATTTAACTAGCTGCTTGAAATATTACTCGCTGTATTACCCGAAACCGCCCAATGTTTTTATGGATTCGTCTGGGAATAAAGAAATGTAATACGATGTTGTACAAATGCTCATGAGTTAAGGAAACAACATCATTTTTTTTTTTCAATCACAAGAGCCCTTGAGACATACAATATTTGAGGTATGAAGTGAAGATATGGCAAAAGGCACATGTAACTTTCATGCAAGTGTCAAGTAATTTGCATTTTGAAATAATAGGCTGGGTCAGATTTGGTTAGTGCAGTGGCTCAAGAGTTCAAACGTTTGCTTTTCGTTGACAATCGTATAAGGCAGGACTTCATGCTGATGGTTTCAGCTATGATAAAAAATATATATATACTGAGGGTTTTCTTGTTCTTGTTTACTCATCTTGCACCATATACAACTGCCAACAGAATGAAAATATATAAACACAAAGAAAGTATCTACATGTAATTACAAGATTACCTTAAAAAAGAAACCACCAAATAATCTTACAGTAAACTTATGATTACATAAATATATTTGTTCTTTGAACAGGAAGAAACGGATAACTTCAATTAAATACACCACTTTAGGAATACAGATTTGGGGATTTGAAGGGAAAAAAGTTTAAAGGCAGTCTCTGAAAAAAAAATATCTTTGGCCCTAAAATCTACTTCGCAATGAAGTGCTTATTTTTGAATACTTACAATATTTTTCTCTCAATTTTGACAGGAATGCTACGATTTCGAAAAAAAGCTGCAATTTGCACATGGTCATAGACCTTTACTCTCAGGAAGCAACCATCTTTGTCTAGTTTCCAGAGTGATGTCATTGTGTTAGTCAGTGTCACAACAGGGATCCTGCATCTGATATGCACATACCGTATCTACATAATCCACAAACTGCAAGTTTTTCCAGCCTATAGCTATGTATTGGAGATATGGTATTCTCACAAGCCAAAACCAAAAATGTCCATTCACAATCATGTATAGGCTAATCCACATTGGAATATTACCATGTAGCCACTTCACAATAGAACTTATTAGCTGCAGGTGTATCAGATGTTTTTTTTTTTTTCTTTGTTTTAATTTATTAAAATGAATACACAAAGGTTTACTCATACCTATTCTAGCGACAAGTCATTGCCGATCCATTAAGCCCAGCCCATTATATTTTGACCAATCACAGCTGTGATTTAACTTATTAATTAATCAATTGTTTAATTTTATTTTAACTGGGTAGGCCCATTCAGTGAGATCCACCGTTCTTCTATGGGGCCCAGAAAAGAGAAGACAATGTGAAGAAGTTAGAGTTTTAGATGTGGGACGAAAACCCCAGAAGAATATTCTGAGGAAACCAACGGAATCAGGCAGTGACCGAAAAAGCCAATCCACATATTAGCCCAGGCAGGAACTGAACCCGGGTCACAGCGGTGGAAGGTGAGGAAAATACACTATGCCAACTTGACTGCCCGAGTCAGATCAATGTCCAACATACATGCGTGCACCAAAGTCTGACATGCATGCATGTGTGTACGAGGCGCACTGCTGGAAGATGCAGTGTTGCATTGGAGAGGCACATGTGTCTTTTGTCACCCACGTGTGCTGTGGGTGGGGCTTAATGGATCGGTCTTTATTTAGGTCTCTCTCAAATGACGTCATTTGCTACAGACCATCCACATGCATCGGCATTTTGAGCGGCAACTTGCATAACCTGCATTGGCTACGTCATATTTCAAACACATTTCGAGCAACAGGCACTACGTAATGAGTGCTTGATTGCATCAAATAAGCAGCTGCAGTTCCCTACAGAGATGGCCGTCAATTTGAGAGCCCTATTAGCTCTTGGCATGGTGTCGCAATATTGGAAGAAGAAAGTGTGGGACAGCAAAAAACTCTTTCAGATCGTTACTTTTTCTAAATTATGAAGTGAATCTAGCTTTTGAAGCTTGGCATTGAAGCCTACCTTTCAAAACCAATCGTGCAAAGTTGCCCGTGCGTCTACTTTTAAAATTGCCTTATGTTTGGTTTAGAAGCAATGTTAATCAATGTTTGTTAAGGAAATGCAATCATGACATAAGTGAACATTTCCCAATACCAAATGAAAATTGAAATGCCATCAAGATTAAATACCTTTTTACCAAACGTTTTTACGTTGGTCTTGATCCTCACCTTGACAACTCATTTTGAGCTGGAATTTCATTATAATAATAATAAGCTTACAATATATTGCCTTATAAAAGTCTTAAAGGTCTCAAAGAGCTTCACATTGCTGTTCAAATCCGGCTAGTGTTAATCTTAACTGACTGAACCCCTAGTAAGAACATAAGTTCAGTCAAACCCTTTGGCTATCCAACTGCGGAGAGTTTGTGGAATGGCTATTACAATAAGAGAGCTGCCAACGAGACTAGTATGTCTATTGCCTTCAAGAAGTATGCCAGTCCACTGTGAACCATCCCGTGCATTGCAATACTCACAAATTCAAACTGAGACTATGCAAGCAGATTTTAAATCACACACTTCCCTGTGTGGATACCATGGCATTTTACATGGACAGTCACACTCAATGGGGTAACAGACTTGTGGACACACATAAACAAGACTTAAATTTACATGTAATAACAAAATACAGAAAGACAGGGAGAAAAAAAAGGAAGAAATTGCTTCCGCATGCACAATGCTCAATGACTCTACAACACCACCACATACATACATTCACTATATACCAAATTGCAGCCATCTTTAATATACACCGTTAAGATATCACTGTTCATACTTAGATCTCTCTTTCGACTGATTGGGCTACGGGACGGAAACCGATCGAGCCTGTTCAGTTTGTCATAATCAACACCATAGAGCCCAGACAGAGACCTTTCTTTGCCCTTCTTTTAATTTTAAATCTGTACAGCATTGCAGGCATGTTTCCCTTTGTTGTTTCATGCAACTCTTCTTTTTTCAGAAGAACTCCACAAAACGGTACGAAGACCACTTACTCTTTAAGAGTTTTGAGAATTCAGTAGAAATAGCTTCCCAAAGAAAAAAAAAAAAAAAAAAAAATATGTACAATTTGGCGTAATTTTTTTTTCTTCATTTTTACGCACGCACAAGAAAAGGTCTGCATAAAAAGGAACTTGCATTGCATTTATTACTTCTTACACCATTTTTTTTTCTCTTTCAAGACAATTTACACCATCATATATTTTACAAGGGCATATCCAAAGGTCAAACCACCCACAACCTTTGACATGTGCATCATTTCACAACACATGCAAAAGGCGTACCAATGACTTCAATGTATAAAATCAGAGACAAATGTGACGAAATGATGAAACAAAAAAAGATTCAAACAGACAAATTTCTGCAGAAGAATGCATGCCTTCAATTCTGTTATAGAATGAAATACTACTTTGACTGTTTTTGTCTCTTTTTTTCCCCCACTGTTTAAAATTAACTTACGCTTCGCAAAAGTATAACCCTGTTTAATTTCTAAACCTATGGCAAGCCAAATAAAGGTTTTATACAAGGAAAACAAGTTTCAGAATGAAAATTGTCTGAATCATAGTGATAGACTGAATAGCTTTAAGGCGAAAAGAAAAAAAAAGCATATGAAGTTTGCAACAAGTCTGTTAAGTGTTTTGTTGATCGTTGTTTTGTACAGAAAAGTGTGGTTAGCACTGAGCTTTTACTTACAAGTCTTATAAACAAATTGAAATTATATTTACAGGTTTCTTTTTACAAAAAAAAATGACGAGCAATTCATTTGGAGTTGCTTAAATAATGATGGATAGAGGATGAGCCAGCTCCAAAACATAAAGGAATATTTTTTTTTTTTGACTACGCAAAGTTGAAGTACAGTTGGCTTTGGCCACTGTAGCAGTGACTGGAATTTCATTTCCAGTCTTTTTTTCCAGGTTAAACATACGTGTACATTTTTACAGCTTCTATTAATTTGTTCCCTTTTCTCTTTAAATAGCTGTCAGGCGTCAAAGAGTATGTTTCTGGGGCATGCAACATTCCATTTTTTGGGGGCAAACCTCTGTGGGGAAATTGAGAAACTCGTCCCTCTTGCATGCTGCCGTCTTGCCACGATGATCAGAGGTGAATTGGTCTGGACCTCTCCACATTTTAACATCACTTCGGACGATGTTTTCTTTATCCTTGCTGGTCTGCGAAGTCCTTACTTCATTTGCACCAGGTATGTTGTTTGAGGGCACCCACCGATTTCCGACAGTTCTACCGCACCCTTGTTACCTTCGCACATGGTGTATTACTGTGAGGCAATCCCCACGTCCAGACATTTCCAGGGAGTTCTTGCTTCATTTGCACATGGTGCATTATCGAATAGCAATCACTGGTGACTGCCACAGAAATTATATCTGCTGCATTTAAGTCTCTCCCAAGTGGAGAACTCAGCTTCGTACAGTCAATTCAGCAGCAGCAGAAGACACTATATGGCAGTCATCTTTGACGAGGGTGACGTCGGCTTTGGTTTGCCCACGCGCTCCCGGCTGACCTCAGCCACTTTGGGGCGACTGTTGCCATTAGACGCGGCCGCCTGCGCAGGCTGGTTTTGCCGCTTCCGGTTGCGTTTCATTTTGGCCACGTCCTCGCCAAACATGTCCCCTGTCCTCAGGGCCGAGATGAGGTCGTCAAATTCGCCCTCGCCGCCTTGCGTCCGTCCGTTCTGCTCCTTCTTGCTGGCTTTTCGCTTTTTGTCCCGCGCTACCCTCTGTCAACCATACAGGAAGAAAAAAAATCATTACAGAATACCAAGCATATATTAAATCAAGCTGAATTCAAGTAGGGGGTCGTTTGTTTTTATATATGGGTTGCCATCAATTTAGGATCACCATTATACGTGTAAGGGTCAGTTCACACAGAGTCGGAATGCAATGACAATTTGTGACAGCATGGCAAGTATTCAAGCTGCAAATATTCAAAACCTGAACAAATCCCCAAACCCTGTGAGTTTAGAATATTTTGCCAGATCGAATTCAACTCCCATTCATGAGAAATATAAAATTCTCTTAAAACAGGCATGCAACTGGAAAGTCACAAAAGAAGAAAATTCAGATCTTTCAGAGACTTTATACAGTGTTTTTATATTTTTAATGGCATACATGGAAAGTAAAATAAGAGGAAATCAGCTGATCCGAGAAAAAGTTGCATGCTGATGCCTGTTAAAAATGTCTTTACTTTTAATGCACACTTTAGTAGGGACAGTTAGCACAATATTCATTAATCGGAACCACAAATAAATATAGGTACAACTCCCAAATTATATGGAGCTACTTAGCATAGAAATTGTCTAAACACAGAAAATATTTCCGTTACTAAGCTGGATAACCTTAACCACAGAAATGTCTTTTAATAAAAGATCATTAAAAAACCCAGCTGATTTTCACTAAGTAAGAAATATACTAAGCAATACTTTCTGCAGTTCCTGTTTCCCTTGGACCTACCTCGGCTTCGATGCGCGCTCTCTTCTCTTCTTCCTCCTGCTTCTTACGCATGTTCTCATTGTCAATCTTAGCCTCAATAAAGGCTTGGATGAAGGAATCAAAGGTGCTGAAGAACTCCTCGGCCGTCGTCTTGGCCGGGTCTTCCCCGAACTGCTTGATGCACTTGGCAATCTAGGAAAAGATTACCCCAAATTTGACAATTCATTTACTGCTCTTCACTGACACGATTGTTAGAAGCTCTTTTACAGTGTATTTCAAACAGATTGTGAACAAAAAAGAATGCTTGAGTGAGACTCGAACCCATAACCACCTGCTTACTAGTGCGGATGTCTTGCTAACAAATTTGCTAACATGGCATCTTTAGCAGGTTGGGACACAAGTCCCTCCTTCACGAAGCCACAAGAACATGCAACCCAATTTTGAGGGCACTCCACAACTTTAAGTGTGTTAGCTACAGTTGCAGTATGGATTTGCTCATCCGGCTTATGCTGCATTCCAGTCATGTCTCGCATGTTCACAAGTTTATCAGCGATATGTAATGTGAATTTTCATCTGTATGATGCGTTATTACGAAGCCTGTTTACCAAAATTACTACACTCTGAACTCTCCCAGATTATTGTTGTATAAGCACTAATTCTTGGGTAAATTTTTCATTTTTGAGAGGGAGTGGTATTGACATTGACATATACACGAACAGTAGATGGCCCTTTGTGACCACTTGGAAACGTTAACGAGAGCCAGGCCTTGGAGGCAATGCATCAAACTCTCTCTTTATCTACACTGAAGGGGGGGGGGACCTGTGCTTGGAGTCCACACTGTACCTTTTCCTTGGCCTGGGCTTGGATTTCAGTGATCTTGGAGAAGCTGATTGAGGCGACTGTCTTGAAGTCGCTCATGACTGAGATAAACTTGTCCCCCTTCTCTGCGTTGGGTCTATTCCTCTGATAGTCCAGCTCCTGGTCGGCACCAAAAAAAAGTTGTCATCAATGACTTATGAATATTTTACGCACATACATGTATGTCTGAGATTTCTAATGAAAACTTCAATCACAGGTTTTAGGAATTGCTTCAAATATATGATTATATGATAAATACTGATATACGATTTGTGGAAATAACAACTGATTTATTCTAAATAATTTATTCTCTCATTTGACATAGTCAAATTAGGTTTTCGTAATCACGGCTAAATTTACTAAGTGTGTATTTTGGCCATCTTACGACAATGCACGTGTTTGTGTGCAGCGAAAGAACAAAAATAGTCTTGTTAACACAACAGCCAGTTAGCTACGAAATCACAGAGTGTATCCAAGCGTAATATAATATTTTCACCTCTTTATCAAAAACAATTCACATTTGTTTGATACTGAAACGGCTGAAATGTAAAAGATAATGTGCACTTCAAGTTTCCACATAAGGAAGGGCATCAAATGTATTCTGGAAATAGTCTCCAGAAAAGAGGGCAATTAACCTACACGCTCCCAACCTCTGGATCTTTCCAGTATGTTTTCAAGGATTACAAAGTTTTAAGGAAGCTATGGCCTAGCTCCTTTTTTTTTAAAACTTTACATAGGATTTGTTGCCCCTTGAAGGTCCAAACACAAAGAATTTGCCAATTGATCGTTTGCAGTGTGTTAATTGTTTTGAGAATTCAGGAAGGTTTCTGAAAACTCCTAAGGAATTGGGGCTAAACATCACAGGTGTTTCATAAACTCGTACCTTTTCCACTTCTTTCAGTCCTCCTCCAATGACAGAGATGTCTTTCTCTAACTCAACCATGCTGAGAAAACAAAATCATAACAATCAGATTATTTACTTGCAATAGTAAGCAAAATCCCACAAGATGTCTGCTGGTACGCAGGTTCCATGGTGACATCAGGCTTTTTTCATGCAGCTGCTCATCAGTTAACAAGTGCGAGTGCACAATAAGCTCTAGCCGTCTTGCATGAAATCTATCAAAATGATCCCTGCCAGAGCTTAAAAATACGACGCTGATGGCACATGGAACACCATACTTTTAGATTTATACCTGGATTTATAGCGATTTGTGATAAATACCGTGTGACTATAACATTACTACACATATTTTGCCTCCATTTACAAACTTTTCATAAACCTCTTTCTGAATTGCTACAAACAATTTTTTTAGAAATTAAAATTTGGTAGTTAAGATTTTATGGGAAACTTAGGGGGCTAATTTTGGTTAATTTCCGGGGACAGACAGACCAACCACCAAGTGACATATAGAAGCTCCTGCCAAAGCTTAAAAAAAAAGATTGCTTACAAAATATATTTGGTCAGCAAAAATAAGTGATGCATATGAAGTTATGCATGAATGTTAACCTAAGTAAAATGTGATACAATTTGTTTTAGCTTTTAACATTCCGAGAACAGTCACTGAAATCATCCATTCAATTGCTGACTTAGAACAAGTCTCAACAATGGCAGAAACAATAACAACAATTGGACCTACTTGACTTTGGATGCGTCCCGTACTGATGCAAGTTCCTCTTCCAATTTGAAGACATCGGGGAACTGTCATAAAAAAAAAAAACAAGTCTACAATAAATCAGATGCAATACACAAACTGAAACACAAAACCACAAACAAAGAAAACAGAGGTTAAACACTCAACAAGTAAAAGGATGCAAGACACACATCTGCACTTCCACAGAATTCTGTTCAAGTTATATTTCATATAAAAACAAATTATAAAGCAAGTAGGGGGAGGGCTATTTTCAATGTAGTCCAACTATCATCAAGTACCAACTAAGTTTAGTGTAAATCAAACAACTATTATCCGGTTCGTTAGTAAAAACGTCATACACACGCGTGCACACCCACGTTTTGTTTATGGTGTAAATCGAGGATTTTCTTTTGTTCTTCTTCCCTTTTCCTTTGTTTGTAGTTTAACTTTTTTGCAACAGCTCTCATTGGTTTCGAACACGTTTTCCAACCGAGGAGTCCCTGATTTCGTTTCTTTCCTCGATTCCTCGATGATGTTGCACGTGTGTGTCCTCGATTTACACCATAAACACGCACCACTGATTACTAGCGCCCATTGGCTGAACACACAGTTGCGTTAACTTCCAGTTCCAGTGGTTCCAATACTACTTAATGTGCAATGGGCGTGGTTTAAACTGAAGTGACGTCACACTAATGAACCGGATTAACCCTGAGTTCTTGTTGCTACTGGATACAGAAGCTCATTAAATCATGTACACATGGACACAGCTAGCAGAAGGAGAGGAAACCTTGAAATGAGAAGCACACTCACCTTTTTCTCTAATACTGCTGCCATGTAATGGAGGAGTGTGGAATATTTGGGATTACTTGATTTGGTGTCCATGATCTTGTTCAGACTGGAGATACGGAAGCCCGAGGCGTTACCCCTGGCTCCCCTGTTCATGTAATTGCCAAAGGCCAGAATGATCTCTAAGACCTTCCTTAACCTCTTGCTTGAGCTCAGTTCCTTCGAGGCTTTGAGTACAGCTGTTTATGAAAGACAGAAAACATAAATGCCTTGATTAACCCTTGCTCCACACCATTGGGGAAGCTTATATTGTAACTGGAGGATTCAGGACTATTCGGTTTAAAACATGAAGAAAATGCAAATGTACAAGATTTTGCACTTTATCAACTGTTGGCTGAGATATCACAACGCATTTCTCACACAACAAAAAGAAATCAATCAGAGTAAAAAATGTTCAACTGTGCTTACGGTCTCCATGAAATAAACGGAGGCTCTGTTAGCAGAAAATCGTGTGCCATGAAATTGGGCCCCAATGTGGAAATAAAATAGCTTGTACTTGTTGCAGGCACAAGATAACCTTCATTTTCCATAATATAGTTTAGAGGCACAAGAGAACTTTCACTTTCCAGACTATAGGTATCTCCTTATCCAAATCACAAAGTAATAATCCCTTGTGAGTCATGCCTTCCCTAGGCACCAGTCTATTGTTGAAAAAAAAAGAATCTAAGTAAGTCTCATGGATGATCCATGCTGGAACGTATAGGGTCTAGTGTCCTACCTTCTACTTTGGGTTTACACTCGCCCATTCTCTCCTGGAACTTCTTCTTGAAGTACAAGCATTTTAATCTCTGCTCATAGTGGGTGATCCTGCACAAAAGGCAAGGACAAAATTGTCAACTAACAATCTCAATCATGGGAACAAATTTTCGAAAACAAACATGGTTGTACAGAACAGTGAACAGTTAAGACCATGCACGAATTTCAAAAATAAAGAAACAGTTTCTCAGACGGTATTGATCTTTTCTTTAAAAACTTAACAAAACTTAAGATGACAAATGTAATGTTACAGTAAATGCAAAGGCAAAACCGTTTTTTTTTTTTTGGTTTTTTTTTATTTTTAAAAATGCTTCTGAAGTCTCTGCCTAGTTTCTGTTCAAGACGTCATTGATGTCACGGCTGGCCCCTTAACTACACAACGTAAATTCTGCATTACAGGGATGAGATTGTCAATTTTATAAACAAGTCTGAAAATTGGATGATATATGTCTGAAACACACCTTTCTGTCTATACTACTACTGTCTTTTCCTCAGATTCAAAAAGTCTGATTTCACACAAAAGTCTGAAAAATCTCATGCCAGACATTAACAACATTTTTGGAGACTAAGCACCTTCAACCATCAAATTTCCACTCCGAAGAGGTTCAGTAATGCTATCAGATACTTAAATAATATAAAATATCACCGGGTGCTTAATTGTAAGAACAGGTGAGGTTAAATTGATATGAGATCCGTTGATCTGATAAGACAAAACAAAATGGAAACATGGCTTTTCTGATCAATCAAGACAAATTTTTCCAATCAACACAAAAATGGCAGCTGAAATAAAAAATGTGATGCACTCACTTGCTCATTTCATACAAGAAGCAGTCTGCCCTTGCCATACTCTCAATCTCTCGTTCATGTTCTTTTAACAGTGTGGTCTCTTCGGGTGTAGGAACAAATTTCAAGAGCTGTAAGAAACAAATGTTTAAGGGGCCATTCAGAATTTTCAATGTTTTAAAATTTCGACTTTTTTTCCAAATTATTTTGACCCACCCACCCACCCCTAATTTCGATGAATAAAAAACTGAACATGTACATGTACATGAACATGTATACATGAACATGTATACCCATGTACATGTGTGTCTTGTTCAGTGACGGCGTGAAGTTGTCGGTCTTCCTCTTTTGCACTGGTGACCTTCAGTTTTCTTGTGTTTTGCCCGCTGATATGCTGTTTTCATATGCTGTTATACCGTTTTCAGTTTTAGAAGCGTCAAAGATGACCGTGGTTTTGTCGTTTTCTGGATGAGGTGGATGACATGTGACATACGAGGTTGTGCCTTCTCGTGAGGTAGCTGAGAAAAAACATTTGCTCGTATCTCCCCCCCCCCCCCCCCCCCCCCCCTCTGTTTGAGCATGTCATTCAGATATTCCCTCAGTCCAAGCTCAAATTTCTATTTCAATTACTAACCAGCTGGGCATTAGCATGCACACTGCTTGTTCGGTAGCTACTTTTCACTTCTCTGACACCAACTTCATTTCTCTGACATTTCTCTCATCAACCAATGAGAAAAGCACATTTGGCTCATAAATATGTTATGAGGTGAAATAATAGGCCCCCTCGTTCAATCTCACTAACCTGTTCCAGCATGTCTTTCGGGACATCCTCTCCTTGGTCCATGCTGAGGACTGCCTTGGTAAGCTCCTCGTTACTCAGCTTCAGCTTGGACAGCAGGATGGTACAGTTCTGAGCCCGCCGGCCGTCTATGACCGACAGCTCCTTCCGCTTGCTGGACCGGAAGCTGAAGCCCGTGTCACCGTCCGTGTCCACCTTCTGGTAGGCTGAGAAGACCTTGTCAAACTCTGCCAGGTCCATGATCTTTAAAATCTAAATATGAAAAAAAAAATGAAAAGCTGGATGATTATTTTATTATTATTTTGGGAGAAGAATTTTCATTTTGTTTTTGCAAAGCATGATTGCTTCTTCAAAGCATGATTGTATTTTCAACCCATTTCAAACCACCAAGGACTTAAAATGATAACTTAGAGGCACTTGGTGGGAGAGAAAAGTTGACTCGTTTGAAAATTTTGAAGACAAGCCAAAACGATCAACAGTAAAGTTAAGATTATTAGTTCATAGGGAAAAGAGCATGAACGATGACAAAGGAATATCTTTGTTACAGGTTATTTATTAGCCTGCCGCTTTCATTGAAACTGGTTGACTTGTGATTGACTTGTGAGTACTTCATCTTCCGGTACTGTGCAGAAACCTCCTCTGGAGTATACTCGCACATTGGTTGAAGTGCAAACAAGCAGATGCAGACAAAACCCAAGGCAAAAAAAAGGGAAACTTCAGAAAATCCAAATTTGCTGGGCACAAAACACAGCTTTTTTCAAGTAAGAATGGGTTTAATACTAGCTTAATCCCTATGAAATATATATTGATGGCATTGGTTCTTCGCTGATATCATCACAGACTTTGGGCTCAAGTAAACTAACGGTTATAAGGTGAAGTTGGGAAGGACCTCTCATATGCATTGCTGCCGCAGGACAGAAATTAGTCATGAATCATGATCCTCGCACGAACCAACGCGCATATGTTTGTCCCTCCCATAGGAGCTCAATTGAGGGGTGAGGAAGCACCAACTACTATTTATGCACCATACCTTCATCTCATCCAGGTCTGTCCATATCGTTCCTTGCAGCTGCAGGTCGGGCAGTTTGGCCCAGTTGAATGATTTCAAAGGATTGGAAGGCTTGGGGTAGTTCTTTTTCTTGCCCATCATGCCTCCCATACCTAAAATTCACAACAAAACACAAAGGGGTTACACAGGTTCTATGGGATGTTCTGACTCACACTGACTAAACTGCAGACTTGTGCTCTTAGTGTCTACCTCACATTATCTGTAGTCTGACATAAACAAAGCAGTAGAGAACGCACAAGACTGATGGAAACACGTGCCACACATACATATCTAGGCCTTTGTACAAAGCACCACTAGTAGGACAAGCATAAAAAACAGCTGCACTATCAAATGCAATAAAACTGCTGCAACTATAACAATAGCAAAGGAGCAACAGCAGTGGCATAGTTACTACGTATTTTACCTGGAGGTGGCGGTGCCCCTCCTGAGCCAGGAGGAGGGGGTGGGGCCGGTGGTCCCATGCCAGGGGGAGGGGGTGGGGCAAATGGTGCCATCGGGGGTGGGGGAGGTGGAGGGCCTCCAGAAGGGGGAGTTGGGGACTTCAGGGCTCCTGTTTTCAACTTGTCATCATCTGAGAGACTAATGTTGGGTCCTAGCTTGCCGCTGGCAATCTGTATTGGAAACAAGGTCAAGATTCATATGTGACCAAGTTTACTACAGCCAATCAAATACTTATTCTCATATTTAGATTTAATGTTGGGTTTTGCCCTCAATGACAGAACTGTATAAACACTGTATTGTCAGTGTTGGCTGAGGGCTTGTGAGAAAAAAATCTACAAACCTATGCGGGTAGAACTCGAACCCACGACCTCCTGCATGCAGTCTTACAATTTGTTGCAGTACCTGCTGCTATATAAGCTTCTAACAAGCCAGCCGACACTAGCAAACTTGATGGTGGAGTGGTGACACATTTGCACTAGTAAGCAGGTCATGGGTTTGGGTCACACCCAAGTAAAACTGTGTATTGTCTTGGTTGCATGGTTTGGCAACCCTATAAAGCTAACAATAAATATCCAGTGTTGATGAAATAACATCAGTGAAGGGCAAACTCCAATATTAAATTTACATCTCCCCAATTAAAAAAAAATCCTGTCGAACAAAAAGGCGCAGAAGAGTGAAGTTAAATGAATGGAGTGTTGTTGAGTGTGGTCTTACCATGGCCTTGAGTTCAGCCATCTGGGCTTGTAGCTCCTGCCCTTGTCTGCTTGACATGGCCAGCTCAGCTGCCTGCTGGTCAAATCTCTCCTGTACTGAGTTGAGTGCACCCATTGCTTCTTCCTGAAACAAGAATTATCGTTCAAAAGAAATCTGAAAAATTACTAAACACAAGATCAAACACCTAATTAGCCTTGTTAGTTTGGAAGTTGTTCACCCTAAGATACTTGACTCTTTGCTTTCGTAACTTCTGCAAATTCCCACCAATTTTTTTATTCATAACCCAAAAGTCCCGACAAGCATACCAATTGATGCAGGCAAATCAGGCACTTGCAATATACCATACTGGAATGCAAAACACCCTCTTCCATTCGAACAGCAGAAAATGTTTGGCAGAAATTTGAAGAAAAGCCTACAGAGGCGGGAGGTGAAAGATGAAGAATGATCCGACAGCAGCCAAGAATATAAGGCAGGGTTTGAACCGGGTACCAAGTATTGAATAAACAGCAATCTACACATCATACTTAACTAGATTTCTCAAGGGATTATGTACAAGTAAATATTAATATTTAATAGTGCAGCCAGCATAACTCACAGCATTAGCTGGTAAATATTTTTGGTTTTAAAGTTCTTAATACATGTAAACAGACATTTACTCTGCCAGCTTTGTGTTGTGAATGTATCAGGTGCAACAGCAAAACACTTGAATGGTTACCACAAATTTCAATGCAAAGCTGTTTGCATTAAATCATTGTTTTAAAAAGCAAGGCAACTGACAGTGACTTTAGATGAACACACTTACATTTTAAACAGGTGGAAAAAAACCCCACATATTGAGATAGTTTAAGAGAGGTTGTAACAATTTTTTTTCCATTTGGACGCTAAATAAAAGCCAAAGTTGCTGATAATGAAGGGATAGCACATGTTAAAATAAATCCTCCATTTACATGAACATTAAGCTAAAGATGTTGCAAACAAAAACCGTACATGTACCGTATAACTGAAACATGACTTTGTGAAGACTTGATGATTGCAGTTTTCTTGAAGAATTTCATTTCGAATGTCTCTTCCCAATTTGCACAGTATGGGATTGGCTAGCTATTAATTCCAATCGTGGAATTTTATTTTATTTGTGTGTTGTTTGCTAAGGACGCCCTCCCTGGACCACACCCTCCTCCCCCCTCCCTTCCCCCCCCCCCCAAAACCCCCCCCCCCCCCCAACCAAACCCCACTTCACAGTATGACTCGGCAAGACTATGTGAAGTGAACACCTTGGGCATTGGACAGACACAAAAAGCAAGTATTCCAAAATACTTTGTCCCAAAACCGGTAAATGAAAACAGCAGCATATTTCAACTTATATGGATACTAGCCATAGAAGTCTAACAAGGACATTTTGAGATTATCATCCCTAAAGGAGTGAACACAATGTCTTATTTTTTCCACAGCAAAAGTTCTAAAGCCTTATAAAAAATAAATTATCATAAAGCGCACTCTCTGGAGGCCTGTGTAATTGTATGAACATGTACATGTAGGTCACGTCAAGAAACTAGGGCATGGCTACAAGTGATTAAAGACTACACCCCTGGCACAATCAAACATGGACTGAAACCCGGTCGCTCATCATATGCATGTACCATGAACAAATGTCAGGATTAAATCATAAATCCAAGTCATTATGTTGATCTTGAAGCACCGAGAGAAATGCGAACAAATATACAATAGCCAAGTTGCTAATATTTTTGCTTGGGGACACTGCAACATTCATGTGCAACATGAATGAGTTATTGGCAATTTGACTCCATCGTTTCATGCATGGGGCACATTATACATGTATGTCTGAAGGCATGCTTTTCATGAACTGATTAATAGTGACATAAAGCTGTGATGGGATTGACCCATATTGCTCCCCCTCAAGGGAAATGCTGTTCTTAGTTTCAGGTAACCACTGAGATTGCTCTACCATTTTAGAGTTAAGTTTTTGTATGAAACACAACCAGCCTATTCTCTGTGATCCATACTTTTAAGACTTGCGATGCTCTGCACAATACTGCTCCAAACTTTTGGTTTAGTCTAAAGCAGGTTAAATATGGTACATGAAGTGTCTGTAATGTCAAACAAGCTATATCTTACAAGGGAGGTTATTGATGTGATTCTGAATATGTCAACCAACAGCGGGAATGTGATAGCATAAAAATGGTTCAAGCCATGCATCACTAATTTAGCAAATTTACAAGTACATGTCCATGTAAGTCCCTATTAACCGATGGAAACTTGAGAGGATTAATACCATACACTACTAATGGGTTTCATTAACAGGCATAAAAAGAATCGGTCAGCTTTTCACAGCAGATTTGCACGGCATTAATACAATCTTTTCAGACATTCTCCAATCTTTCATAGCCTGGTCATTAAGTGGAAGTTGGTTGGCTGACTCGCTACAAAAATACATGTAGATGAAAATTTGGTTGTTAGTCTTAACAAGTGTCTCAAACGTCCCAAAAGTCAACCCGATATCCCTCCCCCGAAAATTGCAAAACAATGTCCAAACAGCATCCAAAGAAACAAAAAAGTAAAACGATGCAAACAAATGTGAAAACGAGAGTGAACAATAATACAAAACAACAAAACCAAAATCCCGAACCAATTAGCAAATGGGTTTCATGATGATGAAGACAAGCGACAGACGATAGAGAGGCAAACAATACATGAGAAAAACACACACAAATTGATGAACAAGCAGCAGGGGGTGTATGTAACAAGAGATGATTTGGCTTTTCTTGCAGGATTCAAACAGGGGGACGGATGGCGTTTAGGTGCTTTTTTTCGTTTTGATTTGCCAAGCTGAAAAACATAAGAGAAGGAAATAAACTGAAAACACCTGTTTGCTAGCTGATATTGTACCCACCATTGTGGTGACCACAGGAAGAGGAGACAGTGCACATGGTGCGTCTGATCTCTGATTGCCCACGTTGGAACAGAGAGGATAGATACAGAGACAAGAGGTTTTGAATGGTGCAATTCACTTCAAATTATCTTAAGAAACCAGGCTACATGTGGCAGGACCTATTTTTTTCTGTAAACAACCCCAAAAACCACAGAAATTCAAATTTATGCCAGTGATTTCCTTCAAGTTAGTGGACGTACATTTACATGTTATGTATTGTTGATATTTTAATAGTGACGTCTATCAGAGAATGGGCACGATTTCCAAATTGGGTAACAAGGTACTGGCCCAAGTGGGAACGACATGACTCCAAATCAAAGACAAATTGGTCACGAACAAGCAGGACATGAATCACACAAGAGCAGACACAGAGTAAAAAGTTAAAAAAAGGATATCAAGTACATTTACATGTATGTCTGGGTTAGGGACTCCATGCACAGGTACATGTTTAAATTTTTATGCAAATCACCAGTAACACAGAAAATAATACATTTATGAAAATTGAATACAATTGCTGCTGTGCGCCTGGTGCATATTCAAAGACACTACTTTTGTCTCCTGTCAATGATTTACAAGCTGCGCCAAACACGCGCGAGTGGAGCCATGTGTGAATGCAGCACTGGCTTTCACGAATACATACATGTACATGTAGGGAACACCGCGCCATCTATAGTGAAATAATCCATGGCTTCAGTAATGGCAGCACTTTTGTAAACACAAGTATCAGTACTTTTCTCAATGCTTTTTTTTTGTTAAATCTTTATAAAAGCAAAATGAAATTATAACTTTCAGCATACATTTTCACCAATTCTCTTTTAGTTTTGGTGCAAGATTCAGAGATGATTCCCCTTGACCGTGAAAGACACAAATGAAAATAAGATTATAACGAGCCTTTCTGGAGTTAACAAATTCTTTTGATAAAAATTGGGACATTTTGTTTAACAAAAAGAAGAGCAAAGTAATTGCTTATGATGTAAGAAGGATACACAAGTTGTCAGCTTGTATGGGTTTTTTTCAAAATTCACATGTAAAACCTTCTGACTTTTATCCAACTATTCCCACTTTTTTTATGACGAATCCACACACAAGGTGGCATGCCCAGCAATCCTACTAAAAGTGTTAAAAAAAAAAAAGAGCAAGCAAGATCACTAACATGTAAATCAACCGACAAAACAAAAGAAATAAATAATGAGATGAAAACTTAATCAAGCTGAAGACCGGCTAGACAAACGTAAGAAATGAAACCTAAAATAGCAGGTGCAAAAAAAAAAACACACACAAAAAACAAAAAACAAAATAACAGAACAAAACATAATAACAAATGGAATGAATTCCCAGCCCCTACAACTCATGACTAAAATTAAGTAACATTGGAGTTCATCCAGTGTATAAACAACTCTGTTTAAAACATTTTTTTTTAGCATAAGAACATGTTGGAAGTCACAGCAAAAATGCTACATGAAACTTTCTACAACTGTTATCCTCCCCCCCCCTACCTAACTTTACTTAATATAGGGGACAGCATTTCAACCAGGAAATCCATCACTGACTCTCTTCGGATCCAGTAACCCTTTTCCCTTTCAGACTTCACCCTGGAACTATTGTCGGTGGTGTGGTAATCATGTATTTACTGCAAATTCCCTTCAGCTGATGTCCAAGAATACAGGAGAAAACATCAATTGTTTTTTCTGGAGAGTATGCTCCTGCAACATCTTCACAGCTAAACCGCAACACACCCCTTTTACCCAAGCCTGGATCATCCCTGCTTTCTATATACCGTTGTCAGCAAAAAAAAATAGAAAAGAAAAGAAAAAACTAGAGCAGACAGTGCCTCCTACAGTGATAACATGGTGTGCTGTTGATGGAATGTGCTGTTGGTAGACTGCAACTCGCAGCTTAACCACATCAAAACTGCCGGAGAAATGATGACACATGGAAGTGAAAACAAATCTAAAACTTATCATAATTGTTTTGGTATTACTATATGACACAAAGTATTTGGAGGTTGACAGATGTACGTCGGAATGAAGCAGGCTTGTTACCTTCTCTTGGTTTTTGGCATCCAGTTCCCGTTCTTTCCTCTCCAGCTGGCCTTTTAGTTCCTCGTACACTATTGAGAAAGACAGAGGTCAGGAGTAAAGATACAATCTCAAAGAACAGAAAGAGTAAACAATTTTAAAATTAAAGCTCTATTCGTTACATGTGTGAGCCGAGAACCAACCACCTACAATTTGAACTTATTACTTTCTGACAGCTCTATGGAAATATCATGGAAACTCATCAAGAATGGATTGACACCTTGATTTGACTTACATTTTTCCAATTCCTCAGCCTTCTGCTGCCTGATGACATCCTGGTTGATAACCTTCTCAATCACGTCCTTGAAGTTGATATCAAATGGTGCCACATCCGGATCCCCTCCGTCCTCGTACTGGAGGACAATCTGCTGGACCAGCCGGTCTACCAGTGACCAGTGATGTATGCTGACGCCTTTATCTGTTACGACACAGAATCAAACAATATTTAAGCTTCAAGAATGAATCTGTCAGTACATGTACCTATCAATGTTTGGTGGTTAACATTTGCTGAGCTGCTGGGTCTACCAGCAGCCAGTGTTGAGTACACTGCTGCCTGTTACAACAGAAAATCTACAAAAAGAAATTTATGCTTAACCCTCCTTCTATCTGAACAGTCACAGACAGTCACCAAATCAATCCTTTTCCCTGCCATGCCTTTTACACAGGCTAGTCACCAACAGTCAGATCATATTTCAAGCAAGCAAGGGCTGTAACTAGTTAAATTCAGTCAACAGACAAAAACCAGGCAAGTGGTACGCACGGCTGGCTTATCAATCACCTAGTCAAAGCATAGCTGTATCAAGTTACATAAACAGTCTAGTAACAGCCAGTGAATCCTGCTTTACATGTATATAGGCTGGGAGCTCTTAACAGTCACTTGATTGATTTTGACTGCAAGGACAACTTGGCACAGATAATGTACATGTATGTTTGCATAGGAGGGTAAAGAATGAATTTTTCAGCAGATACAAACATTTTCAGCAGATACAAACATCAAACCTCATTCTTGAGTTGGTTATCAATATTTTGATCAATTTTCTTCTCCTGCATATCATCCACTCAATTGTGATGAAACCAAAACAGTGATTCAAAATATCCAACACCACAAATCTATTTTTAAGAACATCAAAGCTGAAATCACTCAAACAGTTCATGCCTCTTTATTCTGGTTAAATAAAACATTCAATATATTGTCTGGCAAATACAACTTATCCTCGCGTCAGTGCAACAAGGTCGTAACTCCATTCTGCAACAAAAGCGCATCTCGCGCGAATACGCTCCGTGCAAGAAGGCCGTATCTCGACGTCCATTGACTTTATCCGGTTATTTTAAGTGAGATACGACCTTTTGACATTCTGAAACTCACGTTTCACGTACGGCCCATTTTAGGAGATACGACCTTGTTGCATGAACACGATGTTATATTGTAAACATGTAATGTTATACATCCCGAATTGTCATTTGTAAGTCTTTGTTAAATTTTGAAGTGAGAGGGAAAGCTTTTTTTCCCTCTATAATCGCAAAAAAAATCTTGAAATACCGGGTACATCTGTTAACATTCGCCTAACACTTCCCATTGATCTTCAACACAATTACACTTTTGAAATGTCAAAGTTTGTTCTAAAATTAAAACCTTCAACAATTTGTGGATAAGCTTCCATTTTTTAATTGACGCTTCCAATTGACAATAACCAAATCACTCACATGTCTAAATAAGACTTCTTTTTTGGGGGTGGGTGGAAGGGGGGGAGGGGTTAGGAAATGTGCCAGTTTGAAGGGTGACTATTTTTAGTTGGAGGTTGAGGAGGTTGAGGAGGTTAAGGATTACCGAGGAAGGAGAAAAAAAAGGTTGTTTGAAGGGTGTGGGTCTTATATACACAGACTACTTTTTTGGGGGGGGGGGGGGGGGATTGAGGACTTCAAGGGAATGCAAACAATTTCATCAGATATTAATATTCAACTAGTTACAGCTTTCCTAAAGAGCCATAGTAATGATTCACAGATATAACAGGCATGAGAATGAATTTCAATGAAAAAAAACCCAGGAAACTTGTGCAAAAACAGGAAAAAAGATGTAAAATCAGGCCAAAAAGCCCCCAAAACAGGCTCAAAATAAATAAAAACGCAGAAATGTGGGCAACAAAAAAACAGGAATTCCTGTTTAAACAGAGAGATTCTCATGCCTGCATAAGAAATCAGAAAACAGCAACTTCGCAACATTTTCATAAACACTACAACTTTGGAAGAAAAAAAAAATGAATCCTGCAACCTGCGATATCTTTCACTCTGGAATAAGGAAATTACCAATGCTGCACATGTCTTTTCGGTGACACATGACTCACAATTTATCAAGTGCATATATATCCAGTTCAGGGCCGCAGGATCTGAAGTAAGCCGCTGCCTTCAGACAATGCCTTGAATTAGGGCAAGTCTGTGTACAAAATGAGGTCCATTCAACCATATTTTAACCTACTTTCACCTGCCATTACAAATGCTTGGTGCATATGTTACTTTTGCGATTTTTTTTTTGAAAGGGAGGGGGAGGTGTTTCTTTGGCAAAGTGCCAAAAGTGAAACTTGATCGAATGGACCAAAGCCCTACTTACTTGGTAAGAGTAGAAAATGTTGTAGTAGCGATAGGAAGTGAGGGTAGGCCTGAGTGTGTGCTATCTTCTTCTTTATCACGTCAAACATGCTATTTGCACTCCGAACGTCTACATGTACCTGAAAAAAAACCCAACAAAACATGATTATGTACATGTACATGTGAGCTCATCCATTGCATATAACATTAAAATGCCTCTAATAAAGAACTTGAGTTTTGTGCGCTTATTTAACAACTGAATATATAATACATGTACTTTATATTAATGGGTAATATGATGACACATTGTTATGTCCTACGTTGCCCTCACTTTGGCAGCAGCATCATCATATTCTCATAAATGCAATCCTACCATTTAATTTTTTGGCAATGATGACATAGTCAAGCAAAGCATGTTCATTTATTTGAATTCCCATAACATCCCCCACACGCTCAAACCTAATGCAAAATGGTTACAGCAATTATGTGTTTCACTCTACAATATTTTACCTGTCCAAATTACAAACATTACAAACTTAATACACTTTGTGACCCACCTTGGTGGTACAACCAATACCATTTCAAATTCGAGAGGATCCAAATTTTCCTTCTACGATAATTTTCCCTTAGATTTATCTCGTGTTTCCTGCTTGGGACTTGATCTGAAGCCATATGTTAAAGAAAACTCAATTTCAGTGACACTTACCAGGTTGAATCTCTTCGCAAGTTCCCTTTCGTCTTCATTCCGTACTAATTCAAAGAAATCTAAATGCCTGCAAGGGGGTACAAAAAATGACAAAGATTAAATGAAGATCACAAAGTGTTATGGCTTCATACTCCAATGGGCCTTTCCACACTAAAGGGTACAAAAGTGTGACATGGGATTGGGAAAAGCAGGATAATAATATCAAGTTGTTTGTCCTATTTTCCACTTGTGCGTTCCCACCCCATTGCTGAGGATTGTGCTTTTAAAGCATTTAAGATTTTCCAGGCAAATTTGACAAGGTATTAATGCTCACAGTGCTACGTACGTAACATGGACAGAAACTTTGTTAATACTGATAGAAAGTTATAATTACAATAAATGTTTTTATCAAATATTGTTCCTTTTCATTCTTATCCCTACAGCATTGTTACCTGTAAAAACCCAGACAATCAACTGTATATTTCAGATATCATAGGGTATTATGTTCAGAATATTACGTACGTAACATGGACAGAAAAATGTCACAACATTTCTGTCCATGTTACATACGTTACCTATAAGTGTCTTAAAGACCAACACAATTGTGTTCATTGTGGCTGTTAGCACTCTTAAATGGGTTATAAATATGAATGAGATGACAAAAGGGTAAATTCAGACACATGATAATTAGTGTTGTGTCAATTTGTAGCAAAATTTCTGTCTTTTGTTACGTACGTAATTTTTACGATGATCCCTGCAATTTCTAAAGTACAGAGAAGGTTTTCTATATTGTTTGTACACATGATCATTAAGGTCTCAGGAATGCACAGGAAACAACTGAACAAAATATCCAACTTTGCTGTACCCTCCAGTGTCCCCTGTTAGTGCGAAAAAGGCCCAAATGTTAATGCTATGTCACAGAACATACACACCTTAGAAGTGTTCAACTTCACATATTGAATACTCTCATTGACATCAGAAATACCAGATCGATACCGGCTCTTAACCAGTTCAGTAATTAAAAAAAAACAAGCTAACTTTCCAATATATTCAACTCTTACCTGCTTAAAAGACAAAAAGAATTTGATTACTAAAATATTAAAACACAAAAAACATGGAATACAGTTCTTACCTATCTACAGTGGCATTCTCCAGACTCCGTAGTTTGTCTATAACTGGCTGAATACCAAGCATGAGAAACTCATACCGCAAGTGAATTCTGAATTCAAGATTGTCCTGGGAGAAGGGGAACAAATATAAAAAAAAAAGATTTTATAAAAGTCTACCATTTTTTCTTCTTCTTTGACAACACTTTTTGAAACTCTACTTTTACTCTACTTTTCTCATTTTCCACCATTGTCACCTGGATGAAAATCCCACTCTGGCCATATGTGGATTTGCCTTTTAAGTCCTATTTTGATTCCTCGGGTTTCAACTGAAATATAATTTAAAGTTTTCCTCCCAGCTCTAAAACATAACAGTTTTTCCACTAGGTTTCTTTCAGTTTTCTCATCTACAGTGCCTTCACCATTCTTAAAAGCCTTGGTATAATTACCACAGGGAATTGACAACAATGTGATTTTAAAAAATGAAATACTGCCCAAGTACTATAACTTTATTGGACGTTAATTACAAAATTTGAATCAAATTGTCAAATAAAGCAGCAGAAATTGGAAAAGTTAAGTAAATCGCAAGGAAAAACATTGTGAAAATTTGACAGTTCTGGAAGATGTTTCAAGTTGGAAAATTGTTTTCAGGCTCAAAATCTAAGCTACAAAAACAGCCAGAAATTGTTTGTCTGACATCATAAGCATAAGCTTCAAACACTATAACAACAAATTACTAGGGCTGTTTGGTCACAACTTTTTCCAGTCTCACCTCCCCAGCTCCATATTTGATGATAGCGTTGATGAAGGACAAGATGGCCGTCTTCAGGTTGACCTCTTCCCTGTAGTGACCTGTACTCCGGTCCAGGTCATTCACTAACCTCTGCAAAATTCAAATCACAGAACACTCAACAGATGAAACCACCAGGGGTGGGAATTGGGGAAAAAAAAAAAAATCTCCAAAAAACCCCAACCAATATTAGGAGCCTCAGAGCAGCGCAGGGTCTATCTACATAGGGCACATGTACGGTATGATATATTCGGCATAAAAACAAACAACCAACAAAAATCACAAAAGACAAAAAACAAAAACGAAAGCAGGCTTTGCCTGGAATTGAAAAAGTTTACCTACAAACTGTGACCTGAAGGCCTTCAATTCCAATACCTCTGGCTAAAAAGGTACTGATTCCTGCGGGCATTGCCAAAGTACGCACAAAGTTATTTTATTCTGAATGTCCACAAGCCCATAGTGTCTTCGCGCGAGCATGAGGTGTCGTAAGCAATGCACTCAAAAGTCCCTCCCAGTGGTCTCCCCGAACTCTTCCTTGTTTCCGTTGGGGGGGGGGGGGGTTACTTGTTCAAGAAGTCTGTTCACAGAGGCTCCGTTATCAGAAAATCTAGCAGCCCCTTGATATTTGGCCCACATCACATCACAACACTGATCCTTTTACCTGGAACCTAGTCCTCTCTGAGGCATATTCCTGATAGTGGCACATGGCGTTCAGGACCTTGCGGTGTCCCCCAGGCACCAGGCACACCCCACCCAGGATCTCCAACACCTGGATCTTGGTCCTGATATTCTCCGAGTTCATGCTCTGTGTGATGATGTTGATGGCAGTCGGATGGGCTAACACGTCTGCCCGGCCGTGCTAGATTTTAAAAAAAATATATAATAATATTAACATCTGAAATTCGTAACTACAAAAAACTACAATGTCAAGATGTAATCACATAAAACATTAAGTTAACACCTTTGGTTATTCTCAGAATAACCTCTTATTTAGAATCAGTTACTTCACATGATGAATATGCAGACTTCTCCGCATAATGAATAAAAGTGACTTATTCATATCATTTAGTAAGCCTGTCCAATGGCAGGGCAAATAACTCACTGAATTATTCATGAGAGCCTTGATGCAGCCAATCACGGACGTATGAATGGGACTTTCCATCAAATCAAAGTCCATGTTTTTAAGGAACTCCAGCAGCGTGGAGAGCCCGTCCAGCTCTATGAACCTCATAACAAACCTGAATAGTGAAGAATTGAAAATGTGATGATAACTGGAAACTCCTAAAGGATTCCTCAATAATACAGGCTCTGTGATAAATTGCTAGATCTTCAACTTTAATCCATTAGAAGAATATAAATTGAATCTTGATATTAAAAATTACAAAAAAAATGATACAAAACCCCCCGGAAATTGTGACTCATACCGGTAAGTGTCTTTTTATTTTTTTAAAACATGTACAGTTTTTCAAGCTAAACATGTAGGTGTGGAATACAATTCTGAAAATTGACTAACGGGTTTTGGAAATAAATAAGAGTTTCAAGTACTCCATTTTCCATCCAAATTGTTCGAAAAAGTAACTTGTCATGACGGGTCAAATGTCAGATGATAATAATAACCACACAATTTCTACCATTTAATCTCATACGTACGGTATTTGTTTATTAATTGAGGAAGGCATTGAATTCGACCCAAATAAAGTACATGTTCTTCTGGCTTCACTGCACTGCTTTTCAACACAGTATAGGAAACAAAATGCGAACACAGACCGGTATCATAACATTTTCACAGTCAATGACCTACATATCACGTATTACATGTAGGTACCGTACATGCACTATACATCTACAACAATTATTAGTTTTAACCCAAATCCACATTGTGCAGAGTCTTACTTGAAAAAGAAAAATACTTTCATTTCCTGTTTCTAAAAAAAAAAAAACATGCGTTTGCCATACCATTCCATACTTGAATTTAATTAATATTTTTGTTCATGTTGAGTCAGTCCAATCGGAAATCATGCAAGCATATATCCTTGTTATTGTGTTCAAAAGTAAAAATAATCCTCTTTGTCGACTTCAGCATAAAATTTGGTAGTGAGAATTAGTTTTTTTCTGGAGCGGAACCGTGGCAGCAAGTTCAGAGAACTTTAAATTTCTTTTCCCTAGGGTGGGGATTTTTTTTATATTCTGACCTCATTGGTTGCGTTCGAAGAGCTGTCTTCAGACTATCCACCAGGTTTGTTCTGGAAGCAATCACGTCTTCGTCGTGTGTAAAAGCCAACTGCAGGGAATTCAAACAAGTAACACAGACAATGTTATCATTCTTCCATGTCTTCACTGCTTATGTGACAAACATGGCATTAGTTTTCTTAAGGTACAAACAAACTGAAGAAAAGTATGCATAACATGATTTCACAAGACCCATGTTTTCATTGTGTTCCGACTTTGTATTGCCCATTTATTATTACACTTTCTGGTTTTTTTTTCAATTGAGCTATTCTCGCACGTCCATGCAATAAAACAGTCAAATGTTTGAATCACATAAAGGTGATGAGGCATCTGTGTTTTGAATTATGGGAAAAAAATGCATTCTCAAACTACAAACAAACAACTTTTACCTGTGGGAACTCCAATGATAAAAAAATGCATTAAATTGAGGTGTCTCAAAATCCTGACAAAGAAGGGGGGCCAAAGGAAGGATCAGGTGGGAGGGATGTGAGGAATTGGGATGGAAACATAAATCATTACCGTCATCATGGTTTTCAGCTGCTCAAGGTAGTAATCAGGCCACTTGGTTGAATTAGGATCATCCTGTTCCTGATAATGAAAAATAATGAGAAAAATATGGTGACTGCGTACGTGTACATTATTAACAAAAAGGTGCTGCTCAGTAAGGCTTATGAGCGGTTGAACTTACTAAATGTACAGGTATGTATACATTAATTTTCAAATTCAATCATAGAACCGTTTCACACAAAGTTTGGAACTTATTAACCCTCCTATACAAACATGCATTCTGAGCCTGCTGTTACTAGTTGGGTCAAAATTGGTCAAGTGACCATTGGTGTGTTAAAAGTATACATGTACCAGGGAAGTGGAAGGAAACTTTGACTGTTTGTGACCTTTTAAACAGCAGGGGGGTTAAAGGTTATTCATAAGTTCTAATCAAAACTGTTTGCATACATGTACGTATGATGGGAAGGCAACTTTCATTTACTTGCAAAACACTTAATAAACTTGGTAGACATGGGTAAATGGGAAACCAATGCCCCAAAGCTTAAAAACATCATTTGCTCCCCGTCTTTTTTATATTGTACATGCAAGACAGATGTGCATGACATTTGTATGAGTACCGGTACATGTGTAGAACATATCAGCAACACATTATTCCCACATGGCTGTAATAATAGAGTTTCCATATATATTTACGCAAGCAACCCTTCATCTCATGTTATGAAATATTATCAGCTTGGCATTTCGTGTTTTTCCTTAACTCCAGCCATCTGTTTTTCAACTCCAGGTGTTTACAGGGTCCCAATCCCTGGGAAATAACAACTTCTTGCAAAACAGTCTCCAGACAAGACACACCCAGGTCAAGAAGATGACCTAGTAAGGAAGAAACTAGACAAGTTCATCAGGGCTTTCTAGGCAGAGACGAAAAACAGCTTCTTAAACAGCTAGATAATCTGCACTTTTCATAGGAAGATAGACCACAGATTGTTACGATAATCAACTATTTAATGCTGTATATGTTTGAGCGATGGTCTTTCTCTATATTTCTGCAAACGACACCTCTTGTTCCCAAGCTGAGAGCTTACAAGCATAGAAAAGGGGACTCCAAATCTACATAAGCTGGTGTGAATGAACACAAGCGCATGATTTCAAGTCTGTGTTCAAGACTTGAGGAGCCTTATCTTCCTTGCCTACCTATCAGCACAGCCCACAAGATCTGCCCTTTAATTAAAGCTGCATTTCCATGTGCACGTTTTCTATGTTTTCAGTCTATTTTGTATCCATTGTATCATTACATGTGTTTGGTGGGCACAAGAATGGACTGACATTTGTGACAGTGTGCAGAAGAAAAGGCTAAATAACACACGTTTAAAAGTACATGTAGTCTTCTTGCTGCTGGTGTATTATACGGTAAACTTGTTTAAACTATCAAGTTTTCCTGCAAAAAACCTAACTCTTGATACCACGTACTTGTCTTAAGGAGGCTTTTTACATGTACATGCATGCGCACAGATGTTTTTAACAAACATTTTAACAGAAAATCTGTTCCTCGGGGAGACAAAAGCACACACACACACATGAAGTGTGCCACTTTCCATCAGTCAGTGCCTGGCCACATAATAGATTGCCTTGTTCCAATAATAACATTTGCAGGTGTTGATGAATGGGCCTAGGGGAACCTAGCCCCATCCCCCTGGGATATTTCACATGTGATCTATGCACTTGCCCACTCCCTTCATGTGTTGTGATTGCAGGGGCCATACAATAAAAGGAGGGATTAAGAGTACTGCCTGTCCTTGGATAGGGGGATTGATGGCTGCAACATTTTCACTGTTGCCACTTCTTAAAGGGAATGTACATCATTGGCTTTTGCTGTAATTTTCAGAAATGAACTATTTGAGGGGTTAGTATAATAGATCAAATATTGTTACACTGATATGTTTGAAAATTTGTGTTCGAAAATGCTGGAAAAACCAAGAAAAACAAAAATGTTCAAGTAGTCTGGTTCCCTGACTCCACTAAATGTAAAATGTATCAATTTATAGATGCCAGAAAATTGTAAGGTAAGGGAACCAGTCTAGCTGCTCTGCACCCGTTAATGAACATGTAACAAATAGCAAACACAATTTAGACTGAAAAAAGGGTAAATTTGGAGCAGAAGTTGAAAACTAGTAAGGTTTTTTCAACGGTGGTCGGCCGACCACCGTTGGAAATGTATACAAAAATACAATTTTCTTGAAAATGACTTCACACCTGGTGCCATAATTTTACAGGATGCTTTGGACTGTCATTTACCAACATCCTAGTAAGGTATTTTGTAAAAAGTTGGTAGTTTTATTTTTTGATGTTTGCAAATGTTGTATATTCCCTTTAAACATGCACCTTGTACCAGTACCACAAAGCAAGTGATGGATGCTAACACTTTGTACATTGTAAACTTTACTACATTTGCAGTGTACATGTACATAAGCAAAATTGGTTTGAAGCCATCCAGGAAAAAAACCACATTTTCTTTTGAGATGGTTATTAGTTCCATCACCGGGCCGCTTCACCATTGCATACATGAAAATAGTACATACCGTACATGTACGAAATGTATGTACTGGAAGGGTCAAGACAATTCAGAATCAAAAGTTAGAAAACGTCACCCATTACATAGGTAGCTCTCACAAGAACATGATAAAAAAAATCGTTTAGTTGTAATATCCCACACAGTCTTGCCAACAAAAATCACAACAAAAATCACAACAAAGTTACATTTTTTTCTTTTTTAAAATGAAAATGGTATTTAAACATGTAAAAAAAATGTACACGTACATATAGGTTATGGGTAGCGTCCATATCACTTGCTAGCAGGTTGCATTTTAAAGTTCGGATTCAGGGATATTGGGTGACTTACATATTATAGATATTATGTTTGTAAATATGAGTATTACTGAATTTTCTTTCATTCAAATCCCAGACAGCAGTACCATTTCCAGGGTAATTGCCAACGTTTTGGCTGGAACAAGGGAATATCAGGATTTACATGTATAGTGCTGGATTTGGTTATAACATAGAGCAAGGTCCTATTAGAGTCTTTCTCCAAGGCAAAAATCTTTAACTTGAAGCCGAATGACAAAAGGAATGCCAAAAAGAAATATGCGACAGTTCTTCACATAATCCAATCTTCAATCTGTACGTCAACATTTATGTGACTACAGTTCCCAATGGAACAAGTTTGTCTGCACTGCTACAATTCCTCAGCCATGAGAACAAGACAGCTTCTGAGAAATCTTGTACGACAAGTTTCGTGTTTGAATCTAATTACTTTGGATTAAATTTGAGCTTATGAGATTTGCCAACTGATTCATCCTGAGCCTGCATGTTCATCATTCACATAACTTTTCTTTACCTTGACACAAGAGAATACAAAAGTGAGTGAAAATTGCTGGTTGGTCATCTCGCCAAGGTTAGCTTACAAAAAAATTGAATGTGCTTCATCATAAGCCTGATGGGTATAAATTGGATTCTAAAAAATAAATAGGTACATGTACATGCATGGAAGAAGGAAAATGTAATGTATTGTACATACGTGTACATGTACATGTACATGTACCCGGTACATGTACTCAATACATACTGTACATGTAGTACTACCCTTTAGTCCATCAGGTACGGACAAAAGCTCACTTCCCTGTCTGGAAATAGAAATACCTACATATGTACATCTGTGAATGTGCTTCCCTACATTGTATAATAAAGACTTATCACATGCACAACACATTATTCAGTCCGTTCCCCCCCCCCTTCCCCCGGTCATGCCGGTGACCTTTGTCCTTTGACATTTCCAGGAGTTGTTAATTTGATTCCATCCTGATTTGACTAATTCTAAACTACCACTGGTTAATTGTGCCCTTCCATGAGCAACGTCATGTGTCTCTCAGAATGATATTCCTGTGCTCACATCAACCGTGACCTTTGACAATACGAGAAGCTGCGACTTTGACGACCATTAGCATAATTAGAATTCTTTATTTAGTTATCTTCAAGGCCGAGAACTTGACATTCTATGCAGCTGGCATTAAGTTACATGTATCTCCAGGGTATTACCTTGTTAATTCAATTTTGGCTTACCATACTGCACATCTGTGAGAGCTAGGAAGGCAGTCTGATAGGAATCAATTAACACATGGAAGTTTGGTTTTGATTTTGTAAACAGAATTCCAGTGGGTGTAATGATCAGGCAGTCCATTCTGGCCAACACTCCAAACTAACAGATTCCTGATTACAGACTATCTGCTATTATTGGCAACCAATTCCCTTCTGGTTGTGTCCAATTCATAAAGATACTCTCAAGATTGTGCAAAAAATAGAGTACAATGAATTTGACTTAAAGAGGCCAATACTGAGCAATGTTGTAAGGTCGCTTGATGATTGTTCAACAGACAGTGTACATGTACATGTAAATGCATATGTAGGCCGAATTACTGACAAAGAAATGGATGGATGTACAATATGACAACTCCGTTTACATTTATGAACAAGTTTATGATAGTGTCACTCATTGTAACTTATTTTGCCTGTGAGTTTCTCTGTAGGATATATTTACTTTTTCCTCACCTATTTCAACTATAATGATGTGTTTTGCAACTGTCTGTAGGCATGGGTGTGCAAACGAAAGTCGCACTCGTAGTTTACAGGTTTCCAAATAAAAAAAAAGTGAGAAAGAAAACCAAAATGGGCAAAGAAAACCATCAACAGAAGTTAGTGGTTGCCATCTTTCCTGGTACCTTGCAGTGTAGAAACCCTTAATTATTTAATGATGAATATACAAGATGCATACTTGACACAGAAAACAATGCAAATTTAGAAGTGGACCATCCTCGTCTTAGAAACTGAAAACATCCAACTGATCGACCTTATAATTTCTGGTACAGCAAAGTACTGTTTGGCTGAATGGCTGGCTGAGTTTACTATCTCACGGTTTGTCTCATCCTTTGCATGTCCCTTGACTGGAGCTTCCTAGGTATGCCACAAATCTTTCAACACTAGAGTGTAAGGGTATGAGATATGATTTACACAACTGTCCAGCTCTCTGATATCTGCTGATTGCAGAGAGAGTTAACATCATCATCTGAAAGACTTTTACATGTATCTTCATTACATCCATGTATGATGAATCAAATGAAAAATGGATTGGCCCATATGGCTGCAGGTAAAAATACTTCTAGAGATGGAAAAAGGTGGAGATTAGAAGTAAGGGGGAAAAAATGAATCCCATCTGATAAACATACACACCAAAAACTGAACTTTTGGGGGATTGGCCGCGGTCTGCAAAACAACTTCAAAAACGATCCAACTTTGAAGACCTAATCCGAGTTACACTGTACCGGTATATATTTTGGAATTTGTGGAAAAGCGTGTACAGTAGATGCCACACTGTTAAAAATTTTCATTTGGCAACCCCTCAACCATCCCTCAATTAAATTTTTGAGTTCATTTTCAGACACTTGTGCAAGTATTTCATGAAGTTTCTTGAGAAGTTATGTTACGCTGAACAAAGACAAAGCAATTGAACAAAGCTTCGCTTATTGACGTATGAGCCGCACCTCTTCAACCTACCCAGTTACTTTTAAAATCACTACTGTTCGTCAGTAAATATTCAGCTCATACTGCAGCTTCATTTCCAAATATAGTCATGTTCTGTTTTGACATCCGTTCCACAGTTCCAAGAAGTCGCAACCAATCAGTGTGATACACACTTAGGGCTGGCTGTTCAAGGCAGATATATGGGCAGATGTGGTACGGTACATCACTCATGAAAAATTGTCTTCCAAAACAAATTTTTTATTCATCCAAGACAGGATCTCAATTACTTTTAAAGGAAGACTCTGGATCTCCAATATGATGTACATGTTGGTTTCACAAAGAGCAGCCTACCAGTCAAATGAACTCGAAGTTTGTGAAAAAGGGGGAAAATTCTGCCAGTTGTGACAACTTTTATACAACCCTACATTACACAACAGCCTTTTCAAAGATCAGAACATTTTTGTTTTTTTAATTTAATGTACATTTCAAAGCATGATATAAGGGTCCCACAGAAAGCAAAATCAGCATTTTGTGACGAAATGACTAAATTACACTTTTGTTTTAATCAAATGTATTAATATTGGGTTATCCCTAACATAACTTTCATCGACTACATACAATGACTACGTTTTCCATTGTACAGGATCTTGCTATCTTGTTTTCTAGAACTTGACATTCATGTGCAGACCTTTAAGACATCTTCTCCTTAAAATAGCGACAAAACGGAAGGGATTCATCCAAAGTCATCCCCAAGCGACTGCGGCAAAAATTCCTGGCAAAGAGATCATGACATCATCCTGCCTAGTCATTCATCTTCCAAAAGAGGTACACACACGCAGTTGGCGTTAGCTCTCCGGAGAACAGCAACGAGCACATAGTTGATGATTCCCTAGAGAATACAGACTGACATGTGGGCAAACTATTTGGTCCATAATGACTATCATGTATTTTGGGACGATTTCAATGTCAACAATTTATCTCCCACTAGATTTTCCTGAAGTCTCAAATGCTCAGAGCAGTGCTGTAGATGAAGGATTGTTCAACCTTTTCTGAACACTTCCAGGGCTTTAAATTTGGTAGAAATAACATTGCGCCACTGATAGCTGTGTGCAATTAAAGCCAAGTTAAAAATCTACTTCCAAATATCAAGTCACACAAGCTGCAAACATTTTATTAAAGGATCAATACTCTCTTACTATTTGACACTGATGAGTTTTTACATCAGTTCCCAAAATGGGCAATACACTGGGGCCATACTGTTACTGCAGACCATCTGGCACCCAGACTCTTACCTTCTTCTTGCTGCAGTAAATCTGCCATTTCTTCTCCGGGGACAAGCTGAACATTCGTTCCCTGTGTAGGGCTGGCAGATCCAACTCATCCTGAAAAACATTTTGTAAAAGGAAATTACATTTATAGAATCAACTTTTAAATCAGTTTAAATCACTCAACAGTTTTATCCATACTACATGTAAATCAAGTTAAAATGTACCAACTTGGCAATAAGTATGGCAGAATTAACTTCCAAACATTAGCAGGCCTTTATTTGTAAACAATAGGCTTGATGTGCTTCCTGAAAAGGAAAGTCCAATTGTACAGATATCTTTTGAACTTCAAGTTTTCTATTGATACTCTCTTTCACACATCAATGTACAAGAGATGTGGTCGATTAATGAGAATTGAACTCAAGACTCCAAGGTTTGTCAAAAGAACAGTAACTCACATGTTCTCTTGTCCAGTACAAATGGCACCGATTACTGTTCCTTTGCATTAACTCTAAATTTCCATTAAATAACAGGGGGAAAGTTCTCTACGAACAAAGTCTTATGTTAGAAAAACACAAACGGGCGGAAACTTTTAAAGAAGTGAAATCCTACCACAAGTTCCACAAACATCAAGTTGAGCTCCTCCAATGGCGGCATGGGGTCCGCGACCTCCATGGGGTGCAAGACCATCCCATTGTCCACATCGTAGGTGATATGAGGCGTCTCATCTCCTCCCCCAAAGCATCCGCACAGGAGCCCGCCCCCTCTCTTGCGAGGCATTGTTGCGGCAGCACTCCAAAACCCTCAATTAGAACGCACCGAGGAAGACAAAATGGGACGGGTGCTATTCAAAATATGTCAGGGGCATCTGCAGTTTGGAGAGATAAAGGAGAAAGCAAATCTCTTTAGTTATGATAACATATTTAAAGGGGGGGCCGGGGGGGGGGGGGGGTGAGAATAAGATCAAGAAGCTGTTTGCATAAGCTGGTGATAACATAGTTTTGAGATTAGTCCAGCTGCAAAATGTCTTTAATAGGGCTACATGTACATGTACTTCTACTTTTTTTTAATAGTACCATACACGCATGTCTAGTGTGTACTAGTACTAGTAGTAGTAGATCTCTGATGGCTGCACTAACTATTGGAAATTCCACTCAGTAGCAAACAACGTGAAACAAGATCAAGACTTGTGGTATTAGTACCACTTTTCAGTAGACTTCCTTATACAACAGAGCTAGGAACTGCTCACACAATGTACAGTACATGCATGTCAAATGTAGGCCATTCCAGTATATTCTTCCAATAAACAACACGCATCAAGCATCTGCTGTTTTCTGTTGAATAGCTGCATGTTTCTACAAACCTGACAGAAGTGACTCATGTACTTGTGTGTGCACTGCCCAGTGTGTAAGGCCAAACAAGGCATGTGTAAATGGTATAATTTGTTTAAGTTACAAAATTGTTCTTCACAAATTGGAAAAAGAAATAGAAGCAATTCGGTGAAAATGTCAACCTGAGGGTCAACAATTTTTTTCATAATTATCATGGCTACCATTTTGAAGCTGATATGGTACCGGTACAGACTATTAATGTACCATTTACTTTTTATTTGCCAACTTCAGAGAGTTTTTCCATTGAACACTCAGCTCGAAAAAGTCAGGATGCAAAAGTTTCAGTCTGTTACCATGGCAACAGATCACTTTACCGGACCCCAACAAAGAACAGATTTTCAAAGAAAAACTGCAGCATATAGGGGCACTTGAGTTTAGCTCTTAACTTACAATAGTTACATGTACTATCTTACAGAAGGGGATACCGGTACATTGTGAAAAACCCCTCCCAATGTGTCAGTCTGTTACCCATGGAATTGCCCCCTATGCAAAGACAAAATAATGTTTACACTGTAGTACGAAAACAAAAATCGTATTCATTATCATAATGTACAATATAGCTCCATGGTATAGGCTAGTATTGTAGGCCTACATGTACATGTACATGTACCGGTACATGTAAATCCACACTCAGCAATAAGACCCAAACCATTCAACTGGAAACATTTACATACAGATATGGTTGATATGATCCAGCCCCCTGCAACCGTATTACTGGATTACCGGGACTGCCAATTAGGAAATATGACTCCCACATAAGAAAATTATCTGCACTGGAATACTATATGTATACCATGTATCAAGCCATCTACATGTAGCTAAACCAGATGGCTCTGGTGTGGCAGACTCTGGTGATGAAGATAACACTGCATGCATTTAGTTACCCAGGTACACAAGCTGATCAATGTAAGAGTGCAGTACCCTGCCGATGGTGCAAATGTACAATGTACATGTACAATGTCTACATGTACATGTACATGTACATGTACCTGAAAACCTGTAAAATAACACACCATGTACTGGTAGTGGTACACTACAATGTACATGTACATCACTCTGCACTGCAAGCTGCACTTGTAACTTACACTCAGTATAATGGTACAAGCTAAAACAATTCCCATGTACCGGTAGGTACATGTACATGTATATGTACATGTACATATGTGTATGTACCGTATAGGGACTACATGTATAATACTGTACATGTAGGCCTAAACATAAATCGTATCCTCCTAGATGCGAACATCCCTAAATGTATGTATGTACCGGTACTGGTACATATAAACTAAATGTCAAATGGAGACAAGAAAATTAGGAAGTGTAATTGTGAAATCCAAACTGGAAAATGAAACACAAGGCATTAATATTAGGTCAAGGTTGGCACATGTGTACCATAGGTAAACCACGATGCCATTCCATTAGCACATGTCACTCATACCGCAACACAATCATTGGTACAGGATCCAAAACAACGCCAAGTTTCGTGGTTACTCTGGACCCCAAACATTTCAAGCATGTACATGTAATCCAGTGTGATGTAGCAATATCATTAACAACCAGGAAGGGCATTTTGAAGTGGCGGTGAGCTAGACCACAAAGAGAACCAAACTTTACGTGTTCTCTCTGAAACTCTTTGTTCATAACCTACAAACTTTTCTAGGAAGATCTGAAGGGTTCTCCACAATTTATGTACATATGTATCATGTACACAAATGTACATTCTTGTCCTCTGGTCATATATATGCAGATTCTTTTCAGCTTGTGAATGTGGTGTAATGTAAAAAAGCAGCCAGGCAACCATATTGATTCCAGACCCTTACCCAGTTTTAAACTTCAAGTTTACTGCTCCATACACTATTATCAACAGCCATAAAAAAAGTCTAACGAACAGTTACACACAAGAACATTACAAAAATGTACACATCTGTCATGTCTGTACTTGTGTGTGATTTCAAGGTCAGCAACATACAGGTATGGTTCATGTACGTAATTTTATTCCATCGAAATTCTGAAAGCAATTATTCTTTAAGCTTCAAGGACTCAGTTCTTGATTTTTCACAATAAAGAGGCACTTGTGCATGACTTGCCAATATTGAATCATGATAATACACATACCGGCAATACAATGTACATTAATTGTGTATATACCCGGTAGATACATGGAATACATACAAAGGCCAACGGTACTGCGTATGTACATATTAATGTACATTCGATCTTGCTACATTGTATAGGCCTATAGTGGCCAAAGGGAGGAATCCATTTTTTTTTTACCATGCAGCCAATTTTCCCTGCATCTGGCCAGGCTCATTGCAGCATGAAATCAAAGGCACCTGGTTTCAATGTGAAATGCGTCAAAATACTCAGCCGCAATCCAGTGGGGGTCGTGTGGCAATAATAACGAGTGAATAATATAAGGCAAACAAGGTGTGAAGGGCCCTTTCAGTAGGAAAGCCGCTTCCTTATAAAAAAGAAAATATGCCTGGCATAGGCCCAATAAAGTGCAAATCGAGACAGGGAGAGAGATTGAGAGCTAGTGGAATGTTCATGTTTTTTTGGCACAAGAAAATATGAACGCATACATGTAGGACTTTTTTAATAGGTTTCTATAGGGCCTACCGGTAGTTGTTCTCATGGCTTCTATATTCTAGTGGTTTCTGTAATAGTTCACCATGGCTTAAACACTTTCAGCTCCAACAATTTAAAGAATTACTCTTGACAATACATTTCCTAAAAAACCTAAATTGTGCTTGAGACCTACACGGCCACATGTACATTAATTGTAGAGCAAGAAAAACAGCAAATTTCAAAGTGATTTGAAGCTTTGCATAAATTTATACGTATGGTGTGAAGGAACAGTAACACTAAAAGAAAGGTGTTACAACATGGATACCTTTGCTTAAAAGAAAAGTGGTTCTCAAAGGAAGTGGAGGTGAGAAATTGTGTTCTCAATGTCTGTCCACAAATTATGAAGGCAATTCAGAAACAGTCAACTCTATCAACAATATTTTTTTTGGACACTCGTCGACTTGCCCCCAAAGGTCCTGTAATTTACAGTTTTTACCTCTGTCTAATTCTTAAATGTTTTCAATGTAAACCTGCCCACAATTCAGCCTTCGGGCTGCGACGGGAGAGTGAAGTAAACCAGTAATAATACAATAAAAAAACCAGGAGAGGCCACCGATGACTGCAATGCTCATTGAATACATTGTACTGTACAATGTAAATGTGCACTGTTGTTGTACCCTACCCTCTGCACATAATACACACATTGTACATCTACCGGTACATTCAAATGGAACTGATATTTTCTCAGCAGGAAACAAAGTTTTCCTCAAGAGTGACACTTCATGGTCATTACCAACACAAACCCCCCTCCAGCTGATTTATTCCCAAGTATCAAAGGATCAGCAAAATAAACAGACCATCTGACCACTAAATATTTGTTAAACAGAGGGACTCTTGTGCTGCCAAGTGGCCTGATGAGAAGGGCGGACCGCAGACAACCCCTTGGTGACTACTGCACTGAAGCACTGCTGGCATGGGGTGTCACCAGACAGCTTCAAGTCATCACAAAATGAGATTGCATGGGATTGAGGAGTAGACTTGGTTTCCAGACTGGAATTTTTTTTTGTTCCGAGAATGCAGCCAGCCCTACTCCTTTACAAGCGCAGCCACGTACGTCACTGCAGTGTTAGAAGACGCTGTCAAATCCAATCTTGGGAACTTTGACAATCGGACTATGGAGCTTCAAACTTTCCCTTTCCAACTTTCCACTTTCTCCTTTTACTGTCTCTCTCTCTGTCAAGCGATTTTAGTCGGTGCTCTCAATAAACACACCTGACCCTATAATCCTTGTCACGAGTTTTATTCCTTCAGTAAAAGTTTCTATTCCATCTTCAACTTAATGATTTTGTCCACTCTGGCTACAGTGTATGCGCTACTATAGGAGACATATCATTCTATACCTCCATGTAACCAAGACTTTAGGACTGGTACACAACCACCTATGAACAAAATACTATGTGTTACAATTGGAGTGTTTATAGTTTATACCTATAGCTCCATGATCGGACAAGAGAAATTCTGAGCATGCATGTACCATGCACATGTACATGTACATGTACCGGTACTACATTGTGCCTTATGCGCCCGTATTACAACGTAGCTTGAGTACAGCTAGGGCAGAGCAGCTTCAAAAGTGGAACAAGTTCAAGTCCATTTGACCATTTGACCAAGATTACTTTAGGAGGGACAGCTACACGTACATACATGTATGTACCGGTACATGTACATTTGTAGCTTCAGGAACTGCAATAATGGACAGTCATTGAGTAACATACAAGGACATGACTTGCCAAACTGCATTTTGCCATGACCAGAAAATAATGGCTACAATGTACACGTACAGTTTTTGTACATGTATGTACATGTATGTATACACAGTATGGCATTTTCAAAAACACCAAATGTTCAG